TCTGTTGAGGCGGAATTTTGGCGAAGTCTGCCACTAAGGGCATATATCGGAAGCCTTTGTCTGGAAGTGTATGGGAGTTACAAAGGAGGGTGACATAAAAACAATATGTGCGACGAGCCTGTGCCTGGACGGGATGATCCAGGCACCACCCGTTTCTGGTACACATTCTATGCATCGGACTGTAGTACCAGACAGGTTAGCTCCTGTTTTCCCGAGGTGTGTCGCTGTGACAAGTGAAATGAGGCGCGGAGCATCCTGGCCCATTACGTATCCGTGATTTTTAGCTTTGCATCGTCTTCTCTCCCAGTGGCCGACGATTGTGGTGATCATAGGCTTCGTAAGATAGATAGACAACTGCTAGAGCTCTACCGATTGTACACGCTGAAGGGCTCGAATTCATTTGCAAAGGGTTTGTGGAAGCCAAGGAGAAGAGTTCTAGTCCGTGACCGTAACTAATACATGTTACCACCTCGTTTGCGATACTTGCGGTTGATCTCTGCCAAAGGTACCCTGGCCGCCTCCGTGTTGCGCCACTGTTGAACCGTCACTCTTGGCTGGCAAGGGATTTCTGCGGCCTTCTATCAAGACATCCGCCTGCTACTTGTCCTCGACTGTTCGCTAAAGACATGCAGTTCATCTTGGGTAAACTGGGGTTGCATTCTATCGGTTAGGTTCGTTCAAAGTCCCCGCCGTATCCGTCGCCTCTTGAGGTCCGTCTGTCGTCTGTGCACAATAGCACATCGGGGTCATTCTGCCCTGCGGCCCGTGGCGTGATCCCTTTGTGAGGGGGATATGGGACGTCCCGTTCTGGTTGCTGCTCCCGGCCAACGCGTCTTAGTGGAGTGATATGTGCGGGCTGCTCCAGGCATGGGTGGAACTTGGCATTATCCAAGTTCTCCAGTCTGGAGGCTTTTTCGATGGCGCTCCCAGGGCGCTGCATCTGGCCTTCCTAATGTGACTATGTCTTCTATGGCCATGTATGTTCTCACATTTTCGTTCTCCAACATATTGGCGGGGGTGGCTGGCCGCCCTGGTCACGAACCCTGGTATGCCCCAGAGAGCGCACTATCGGCCGGACACACAACCTTCTGAGGTATTTTCCCCCGCCATCTTGCGTTGGGGAACAACAATAGCCTGCCACGGGTGCACGGGACGGTGCGCCAAGCTGCTGGGATCCTTGCCGTTAACTACGGCTGTAAATGAGCTTACAAGGGCGGCAACATGAACAAGGAGACTGTACAATGATATGCTACGGAGCTAATGATTATTTCTCAATTGTACAAGCGAAGGTTTCGGCGAGTGCTAAAAAACCCTCGATACAATTGACAGTCAACTGATGGATTAAGGTTACTCAGATATTGGCTATATTGTGTCGTGTGATAGCTGGGATGAAGGACTAGACGGACAGCACTTCTCTAGTTCGCCGCAGGGCCACGAAGAGCGCCGTGGATGGAGATTTGAGACCTTGTGCGACATCCTCTCGAGCATTCGGCTGTCTCGACTGTTAACGCATGTCGACAAGAGGGTACATGTAAACTCGCACTCTCTTCAGAATTATCAAACAGGTTCTCGTCAAGGATATGGATCATCAACAACCTGCCCTTCTGCAAGGTGCTCGCTGGGGTATGCTCTCCGTTCTCGTTATTCCCGGCTGCAGCAATCTGTTGGTGCTCCCCAGTCAATGATCCCAGTGTGCGTCCACATACCAAGGCTTCACCAGGGTTTTTGGAACATCAGCTCCACCTTGAACCAACAGAACAATAAGCAATGCTACCTCGTTCCGTCTTCACCCTTGGTCGTGGACAGCCAGTCGCCAACTTTGCTTTCACCGATATTCCGATATAGGTACAGGAAGATTGAATAATAGAGGCAGCGAAACCCTCTCGGGTCCTTTTCACATGAGGACAGCGCTCATAAGAAACCCGCGCGAACACGCCCGCGTATGCTCAGCATCTCGACTTCGACGGCGTAGCATTCAACATGAACATGGATGAGGAATACCACCAGCCCACTATCCGGGGCACCTTCGCCAGCGCAACTGAAGACCTTTCAGACCCACCGGAGCGGAAATGAGGTCGATGCTCTGGCGAAGCATTTGAGTATGGATCTTTCGCCTTGCAGCGGCCAGAACCAGGCACGGCTCCATGATCTGCTTCCGTCTTGCTCCCTTGTCTCCCTTCAAGGAACATTGCTTCTCCTCCATTTCTCGTGCAGCTTTGCCATGCATACCCGATGCGTGTTACGAAATACACACTTTTTGGAATCAGCAGCATGTGATTTCAGTGCTGTAACATAAACAAGAGGCGCCCATTCTAGATCGAGGTCTGGTAGATGGTCTTCCCTCGCACGCACACATCTAGTCGCCTCTTTGCTCATGTAGACGGGGTTGTTTCCCAGGTCTAATCTAGGTCGTGTTGTCAACCAAGTAAGCAAGCTTTCGATCATCTCAACCTTCCTTCTTCTGTGGCTATTGGAGAGCGCTGCATCGGCACGGGGGCTTGTATCTCATTCCGGGTCCATCAGGAGTTGCCCAGCATTTTGCAACTGGTCTCGAATTCATTACACCTTGTTCCACGAATTGCGCACTTCTCCATGCCTCGCTTCATGTCTCGCACACATGGCTAACGCCGCATTGCCAGGAACCACCACAATGAAGGTTTTCTCCCTCCTTGCCACCGTCGCTGCGGCGGGCGTCGCGCTCGTGTCCGCCCAGGGCATCATCGATGACAAATCCGAATCTTTCCCCGAAGACCTCAACGGCTCCAACTTCACCTACCCCTGGCCCGTGAAGCTATACAAGTTCACCTCCCAGCTGCAGGAGCTCGAGATGGCCTTCATGGATGTTGAGCCCAAGTGCAATCCCAACGGCAAGACGGCTGTCCTCTTCCACGGCAAGAACTTCTGCGGCCCGACCTGGGAGACCACCATCCGCATTCTCGCCCAGTCCGGCTACCGCGTCATCGCGCCTGACCAAGTCGGCTTCTGCAAGTCCTCCAAGCCCGAGCGATACCAGTTCTCCCTGCAGCAGTTCGCCACCAACACCAACGGCCTGCTCAAGACACTGGGCATCGAGCGCGTCACCGTCATGGGCCACTCGCTCGGCGGCATGCTCACCACCCGCTACGGTCTCATGTTCCCCGATGAGGTCAACGAGATGGTCCTCGTCAACCCCGTCGGCCTAGAGGACTACAAGGCGCTCGGCGTCCCGTACCTCCCCATCGACGACAACTACAAGACAGAGCTGGCCAGCTCCTACGCCTCCATCAAAGGCTATGAGCAGGCCACCTACTACGTCGGCGAGTGGAAGGCCGAGTACGACATCTGGGTCAACATGCTCGTCAACATCTACCAGGGCTCCAAGGCCGAGACGTATGCGCTCAACCAGGCCCAGATCGTCGACCTCGTCCTCACCCAGCCTGTCAGCTGGGAGTTCCCCTTGGTCAAGCCACGCACCCTGCTCATGATTGGTGAGAAGGATAACACCGCCATCGGCAAGCAGTGGTCGCCCCCCGACGTCGCTGCCACGCTGGGCAACTTTACCGCTCTTGGTTCTGCTGTTGCTGCTCAGATCCCGAACGCGACGCTGCACACTTTCCCCGCGCTTGGCCACGCGCCCCAGATCTCTCAACCGGAGGAGTTCCACGAAGCTCTCGTCGCTTGGTTGTCCAAATAAGGGCCCAAAGAGGCAATGTTATAGTGCTCTGCAATGAAGGGCACCGTTCGGGCACATGATATGACCTTGTAATGGCTGTACATAGTCAATGACTTCTTCCAGATCTTAGACACTAGACACTAGAACCAAGTACATATGTTTATTGTTCGGAGACTCGCCCAGCCTTAGCTTACTGATAAGGTCATCAATCGGCCATGCCTTCCCGCGAGAATTCAATGAAGCCCAACTAAACGAACTATGTGCATGATTGGGCTCCAGGAGTCCAGCCACCAAGGCGAACCAGTCAACTAATTGGAGCGAGTCCTGACCGTTCAGCCAGCATGATAGGCGTCGGTAAGTAAGCATTAACCTGCAGTTCCGCTTCGCAATTCGCTGACCCCGCCTCGCTGTGAACGCTGCAGAGGCTCTCCAGATTACGGCAATAGCCAATGGCAAGGCATTCACCATCACTATCCTTGAATGGACAAGTCACTCAGGTCTACGAACAACAGACACCATAAGATTCTGTCATCAGCCAATCAAATTTGATAACCAGAGCCTCTTTCGACAAGCTACAAATACCGTCTTGCGCTCACCAACACAGCCTTATGCAAACATCTCATCATTCACACCAGCTCTTCGTGTGATCTCATGAGGACATAATTCCAGAAATATCTGTGGGACTTGCCTGAAGTCCTTGAACAATACTCTTCAAGTCGCCCTTCAAAGGCATCCGGACAAGCGGCTATCAGCATGCCTCCTCGGACCAAAAACGCCATCATCAAGGACGAGGAGTGGATGAGGGTCCAACCGATCATCCGCAGACTTTACCTCCTGGAGGACAAGAGTTTGAAGGATGTCATTTCAACACTCAGCATGTTTCATGATTTCCGTCCAAGGTTAGTTAATTTGTGTGCGGTATCTCATTTTTCATTCGGATATCCTCGACCCTCTCCATGGTGTATAATACAACAGCCAGTCTGACAGGGCGGTTACAGCAAGGCCCAGCTGGAATCAAAACTCAAGCAATGGCACATGACGAAAAACATGACGAGCCTGGAGTGGAAGCATGTCGACGCAAGAATACGCCGGCGCCGTCTCCAGGGCAAAGAAAGCAAGGTCTATCTGTCCGGTATCCCACTACGGCCCGCGACTGTCGAGAAGGCGAGAAGCCGCCACTCCTTTGAGTCTACCTTGGACAGACTTGCTGGAAGTAAGTCACCTCAGAGGCTTTACTCAATAACAAACGAAATGCTGACCATACCACTTTCAACAGAGGCACCCCCCTCACCAAAAGACCTTTCCTTGATCATTCGCACGCCATCACCACCGGCTGAGGTACGAGTTTGTAGTGCGCATAGCATCCCATGGCTACTTGCGAAAGACTTCCTCGGAGGTATGGATTGCAGCCGCGGTTCTGCGTTCCAGAATGTCGAACGTGCCTGTTGCTGACTCCAATCTCACGCAGGGGTCAACTTGGGTGCGATCTTCCAGTCCCAGCGCAGCAGTGGCTCACTGAGGCTGCCCGTCAACGAGCTGCTTTCCCTCACTCTACGCACCCGTCCTAAGCTTTCCAGCCACACAAGCAAACTTCAATACACAGTTCGAGCTCTTACGTTAATCATGCCTGAAATGGTCCTGGAAAGCCATGTCTTCCTCGCCGAAAGCCATATTCTATCGCCATTTGGCTTCAACGGTTTAAAGTCGCTCGAAATGCTACTGTTTCTATTTTCCAACAATTTTCTTGCGGACGCATTCAGTCTCGAAGAGATAACAGATGAAAATGCTGTCATTGAACGCTTGCTAGACATGGTCAAAACATCTCGAGTACTAGATTCCCTAGCGACGCAACAGCTTGCAGAGCTTCCATTGAGCTTGCAATCAGCTTTGAACCGGCTTTTCAAGGAAGCTGTCCAGAGATTAGAGCTTGGCCTTGTACGATCGTTGCTTCAGATAGGCATTGATGTGAATCAACACATGTCCCGCACGTTTCACAGGTCTCAATTCTTGGGAACATTGACGCCATTCGAGTACGCGGCAGTGGTATACGATCAAAATCTCATGCGAATTCTTATTGACTTCGGAGTCGACACGCGTACTAAGAGTCTATTTTTGGTTCGCCTAATCTACCTTTTGCGCGAAACTCTCTCACCCATGTGGGAAAGCTCCGCCTCACTTCTACTCTCGAACTATCACTTCGACCCGCATGATGAGGGCATTATAATGCTGCTTTTTCATGACATTGGACATCGCCTGGCTTGCCCTATTTCCGAACAAATCATTGGGTCTTTCCGAGCCAAGATTCGTCGTCCAAAATCAATATCAGCGTTACTCGTTGCAGCGGTTAGGTCACAGAGCCGGTTCGCCTTTGACTTGCTATCAAAAAAGCGGCAATTCATCAATATCTCGAACGCTCAAGGAGAAACTCCGTTGGCTGCGGCTATAACAATCGGTTCCAGTCACTACGTCAAGTATTTGTTACAGTTGGGGGCCGACCATTCTCAACCTGCACAAACTGATGGACCCTGGTCCCTCGCTTCCCCCCTTCAATATGCTGCTTTCTATGCTGACGTCAATATGGTTCGTCATCTATTACGTGAAGGTGCTGATATCAACTTTTGTCACTTTTCCGATGCATGCAACCTGAACGTGCCCGCAAGTAGATGCAAGAACTTGGGGGAAACTGCATTGCAAGCGGCCATACTTGGGACCAACACCAAAGTGGTGCTTTTCCTGCTGGCCGCAGGCGCAAGACGGCTGGGCGGTGAATTGGCTCTCGCTATCCGGTCTCGTCAGCAGATAATTACTGAAGCGCTTTTGGCAGAAGGAGCTTCGCTTGGGGACAATTCAGCTGCCTACGAATGCGGATCAGTCCTTGAGGCAGCCGTCATGGCGCAAGATGTGGACTTGATTTCGCTAATCATCCAAACCGATGCAAAAGCTGTCGACGAATGTGCTTTGTGGGCTGCCATGTTCGTCGCAAAGTATTCATCAGATTCACCCATCATCCACATTATCACCGCACAATATACGAGACTAAGAGTAGTCAACGGCCTTTGGCTAGGAACAGCCATACACCTGGCAGCACAACTAGACCTCCGCGAGATTTCGGAGGCTTTGTTGGCTACGGGCATGCATCCAACAATTTGTACGCATGATGACATTGCCAAACCTGTGGATGAACATGATGCTCAAACACCGATGCTCCAGCCTTACTTTGAATGGCGTCGGCGGATTCTGCGCAGCCCACCACAGAGGCCTCTGGTACATGGCGCCATACAGCTCGGACAGCCGGAATATCTCAGATTATTGCTGCGTTTTGGGTATCAGTCGCCCCCTTTTTGCCCTATCTTCGGAATGAAAAACACAAGCCTTGAGCTTCTCCAGATACTACACAAACACGGAACGATCATGACGCCACGGATTCTTGGGAAATCGATAAAATCTGGTCTGCAACCAATTACCCAGTGGCTTTTGTCTTGGAACATAGATCTCCACGAAACTGTGCTTGATGAAGAACAATGGAACGTCGAACCATGGGAGAGGTCACCCATACAAGTCGCTGCTGAGCAGGGAGATATCGCCTTATTTGAGATGCTTCTAAGACTTGGAGCCGACATCAACGAGCCACCAATCACTAACCATGGAGGTCTTACGGCACTTCAAGCTGCTTCTATCAAGGGATACTTTGGTCTCGTTAGCAAAATACTAGACTTGCATGCTGATCCAAACGCACCCGGAGCTGAGATTGAGGGACGAACAGCATTGGAAGGAGCAGCCGAGCACGGTAGATTGGACGTCGTGCAACTACTACTCAACTCGGGGGTTCAAACGTGCGGCGATGGTCGACGTCGGTATGTCCGCGCCATTGAGTTTGCTCGTCGGGAAGGTCACCACGCTGTTGTGACGCTTCTCAAATCCCATCGGCCTTGGACCGAAGCTGACCAGGAGGTCCTTGAGGACAAGACCCTGTTGTACTACAACCAGAGTCCTGAAGGCATTGCAAAGCTCCTTGAATCACTCGATAGAAGCTCTTCAAAAGACGAAGATGAAGATTATCAAGACGGGGACATAGTGTCGGAGGCGTCAGAAGAATCAAGAGGTCTCGATCTGATCGAAGCGGGTTCTAGGATCCACGAGGATGATCCAGAAGAGACATACACCCTTTCCCTTCCTTCTTCGACCCTCGAAGAAATCAGAGAGACTCTGAGAGACAACAGCGAGGCACCGGGTCTACCCGGCGACGCCATCTGGGCAGAGGCTTGTGAGAACTTCTCCTTGGAGTACCCCTGGCTGTTGGAATGAAGCTGGTGTATTAATGTTGGGATTTTTTTCTCAATGTTTTTCAGTAGGCTCTTCCTAAATTTTAATCCGGTTCGCCACTGTATCTATCCGATTGTGTTGGGGTATGATTGTGTACCTGTGCGATCTCAAGAGGGGTCACCTTGAGCCCGTACTTCAGTCTGGTTCCTTACACCCCCAGCTCAGTCCTTGGGCCCGACACCAAACTCCCCCGTCCGGTAGAGGCTACCAACCGTGACCCCCCGCATCTCGGCGACCATGCCCATCAGCTGTTGCCCGACGTCCTTGATCTCGTTGTACTCTCGCAGCAGCTTGACGTGCCGCGCCACCACCGCTGAGGCTTCCTCGAACTCTCTGTAAGTGGATGAAGGTCAATAAAAGTACATGGGTGATGATTAGATGCATCCAAGGTCTCAATTTCTTATAATTGAGAGGTCGGTGTGGTATTGTCGACTTACTTATCATTTTTCTCCTTCATTTTTGCGCTGTTTTCATTTTGACATTCGTCTTGGGTGACGTTGCGAGCAGACTCATTGCCCGTGTCGCAGCTGGTGTCAGTGAGACTCCCATCAGGTTTTGATGACCCCATACTCTCGGCTTTAGGAAGCTTCTGTACCGTTAGCCTTGTTGTGAGTGAAGATACGTTTCCTGTCGTTTCCGGAGCCGGGTCTCGTGATGGCGATGTGAGGTCAAAGCACAGACCACGTCCGGGCAGTGAGCAACATGGAGAAAACCAGGCTAACAAGGAAGACATACCGAGCAGTTTATGTCATGCTACGTACTTAGGTAGTAAGAGTAGAACGCATAAGAAAAGTGAAAGATACTTAGAAAATGTCATAATACAACCAATAACTTCATACCCCGTCAATAATGTCGACAAAAGGATGTATCAACAGCAAAGGCAAAAAGTGGACGATCAGGGAATCGAACCCTGGACCTACCGCATGCTAAGCGGTCATTATACCACTAAACCAATCGCCCATTGAATGTTGACTGATTCTTACGGAGGGACGCTTCTATACTGCGACACGCTAGCACACAAACGGCGATGTCTAGGACCCAGCGGGGTCCTCTCCGCCTACGTGACGAGTCGGACGGTGACATGCTCGTGCCGGAGAGCATGGTAGAGCAGGGCAGGCGGGTGGGCGGGTCACCCGGGACAGGGCACACATCAAACGCGTCGGACCGCGAACTCGTCACGTCGGATGGCTGAATCACGAACGCTCATTACACCTGATGCACCTCATATTCTCACACTCACTGATGCGCACAATGTCCGAATGCAATGCAATTACTTCTTTTAAGCACAAGCCGCCTCGCCAAGGTTCCCTCCTAAAATGCCGTGGCACACTCTGCTTTTTAACGTCTCATCTTCATTCTTTTCGCATGCTCCTTTTCTACTTCCGCAAGTCGCCTCGTCTGGTGAGGATGGTTGGTTCGTCTAGGGAAGACCTTTTCGACGGGGAAAGGGGGAAAAAAAAAAAAACACAAGACGAGACTTTCTGCAAGGGAAGCGGGGGACTGGTTTGTGTCGTTTAAGTGATATCAATTCCCATAATAATCAGAAGCCAGAAAACCCCCGTTTTGTTTGTTTTTGCAGTATAAACCACCATCATTACACAGGCAAGCCCATTGGACATGAATCATCTTGGATTGTGTGTTGTTCGTTGGTGACTTATTGCGAGTGGAAAAGGGGGGAAGTGGCTGAACCGGACCGAAACACCGTGAACGGCGGCGCGGGGGGGGTGATGTGGGTAGTGAACAGGAAGAAGGCTTTCGTTGTAGAATAGGTCTCTCGACTCACTCCGGAGTAAACAAAGCCAACATGAGTCTCTCCGCTCCGGGAACACCACCCTCCCAAGAAATATCATCTTTTTTCCCCCCCTTCCAATGACCAGCCCATTGTGTGCCAGCAGCAAATGAAGAATTTCCCTTATGAACCGCCCACGCCAATCTAATGAGGAAACGCGAGGATGAGGACAGAAATGCGCAAGAAATCACCCTCCGGGTCTTTTGTAAACGTCAGACTACCACGGGGGATGATGGTGGTGGTGGTGGCGGCGGCGTGGCGGCCATCGGGGAATCAAGCCCTCCTCGCATCCCCTCCTCCTCCTCCTCCGCCATACCCCTGCAGCAACCAGAGCAACAATCGAAGGGGACTTGTCGACCACGTTTAGTAGCCGAAGGCCTCGAGGGCCTGCGCCGTCTTCTCGTCGACCTTGGCGTTCTTCTTCGCGTCGGAGAGCTGGCGCTGAGCGACCTTCTTGCGCTCGTAGTAGGCAGCACCCTTCGCCTTGCGGCGCTCCTCGAGTCTATGTGCATGTCAGTACATCGATAGGAGGGAGGAAAGCGGGACCGTAAAGCAGGTCCACCGGGGAAAAACCCACCTGGCAACGACGTCCTGGTACTTCCAGCCGACCTCGTGGGACAGACGGCCGACGGTGCAGTACTTGCGGCCGGGCTGCAATCTGAGGACACGGAGGGCCTGGGGAACGACCATCTTCTTCTGGGTGTCGTAGGGAGGGGGACACCCTCGAAGACCTTGAGGCGCTCAAGGGCGGCGGCACCGCGAGCGGTCTTGTGGGGGATCATGCCACGGACGGTCTTGTAGAAGATTCTCGACGGGGCGCGGAAGTGGAAGGGACCTATTTCGTCAGGTCAGACATTTGAATGTCCTCGAGTTGATATCTCATCTAGGAGACAGAGCAGAGCCCGGATATATATGTGTATGTGTTGGCTTACCACCGCGAGTCGGGTTGTAACGGGTCATCTTGCGCAGGTAGGCGTGGTACTTGACTATAGCCATTGATCAGTATTGGTTCGTCCGGTTCAGGTATATCATTTCCCAGTCTCTCTCCCTATAATGCGTTGCCGGGGCGTGTTCCTCCTCTTGAAGGACGGGGAGCGGCGATGGTGGGACGGGTTGGGGGGGGTTTCGACATACGCTTGGCACGGAAGAACTCGCCAGAGATGTTGAGGGCCTCGGTGCGGACAACGACGATCTTCTGGCCGTTGAGAAGCTGCTTGGCCACGATGGAGGCGAGACGACCAAGGAGATGGCCCTTGCCGTCGATGACGACCTGTGAACAGAGTTGGAGTCAGCTATCTGCAACTTCCTTTGCAGTCTCCACGGTCGGCGATGGGGATCCGATTCGAATGTTGCGGCAGGACGGTCGAAGAGAGGACCAGCGAAGACGAGGAATGAAGAACAGCCGTGACCGAGTCGCCGTGGTCCATCGCGCCCGTTGCACGTCTCCTGCTCGCCGCCGCGTCCGGCCGCCCGCCCACAAACACCGATATCGAAATCCATTCATGGTCGAAATAACGTCCCGCGATCCCTGGGACCGAAGATGGGTGCAAAACTCACCACCGGCTCGAAAGACGACATCGTTCCTGTTCCTTGGGGGATATCTGAAAAGAAGGAAAAGGGTGAGGAGGATTCAAATCTCTGGGCGAAGGTCGGGTGCCTCTGTAGAGATCTGTTGTGCTGCCGTTGGGGTTAGTATTGTCGGAGGGTGAGTTTTGCAAAGAGGCCGTCGCGACAATCTTCAAATTCGGGGGAGGCACACTGGACTGGGTTTCCGGGGCGGAAGAGAAATTTACACCGCGCACACACAAAACCCCCCAATGGCACGGCAGGAACAATGAGTGCGCTAGCTGCTTTCGGTAAGGCGTCCTGCGCCGCAAGCGAGGGTTCCATGTGGGGCCTCAGGCAGCTTAGGGCTGGAAAGACCTACCAGAAGGCAGAGCGCTTCCTTTCCTTTTTGCTGCAGCACCCTTCACCTTGCTGACTCATCCGTGTTTGTCTTTCGGTCTGCGCTGACAGCTGGCCGGCGGGGCTCCGTGGCGTCGGTACGGTGGCCGGCCAGACCCTCCTTCCGATCAACGGGTCCTCACCGGGTATTATTCACCGAGTGTTTCCACCCAAGCGACCACAAAAAAGGAAATAACAATAGGAACATGGTGTCTTGATGACTAAGCAGACGACGTCAACATCGCTCATACCAAACCGGGATTATCCCTAGCGAACGAACGACCCGGACAATTGTCGACCAACGTCACGCTGCAGCCCTGCTTCCAATGTCGACGGTCGACGAGGCGATTCCAAGACACCATGGGTGCATCATGTGAACAATGCCTAGAGCGAAGATCCCAGAAACTTGGGTTGTTGTTTGCCATTTCTGTCTACGACGTCTCATCATCGCCACACACCCTATCTCCTCTCTCTCACCCTCTGCTCGGCGGCTCTTTACAGTACTGCCTACGACCCTCCCGGTCCTATCGTAGCAAAAGCACAGTATCCTACCCTGTACTCCATACTCAAAGCATCCGCTCGCTGCGGGCACGCCTCTAGATGCGAATCTCGCTTTGATTAAACATGCATTCCGGCTTACAAGTAAAAAAAAGAACCGCGCACATGCTCATCTAGAAAAGAAGAAGTCGGCCGTTTCCTAGTAAACAAACGTATCGCAGGAACCTAGGGCACTCTGGGTGCCGGACGGTTTTCCTTTAAAACTTGGTCGTGAACTCGTGCATCAAGACGCTTCGGCACGTGCATCAAGACGTCTCAGTACGTCCTGCACGTCCTGGACGAGAGCCTTCCTCATGGCTCTGGCATCCGGGTCGCCTGCCGTCTCGACCTCGTCGAGCTTCAGGAGCACGTGCTGCATCGTCGTCTCGGACAGCTTGCGGTGCTCTTCGACCCGCTTCTTGGCGTCCGTCGGCGGCGCGGCGATGAAGTCCTCGCAGGGCTGGCGAAGGTCCGCGTTGAACTTGGCAGCAATGGCCTCGAGCTTGGCGTGAGGGCCAGTGGCAGCCTGGCTGTTGGGGGAGGATGGTCGGTGGCTCTCCTGGCCGGTCGGCACGCCAAGATTTGAGGCGCTGTCCCGCGGGCTCGTGTTGCTGCTGCGCTTTTTGGACTTCCGTCCCTTCTTCTTGCCGCGGCGCTTCTTTCCGTCGTCGGTGCCGCCGGTGCTGCCAACGGCACTGGCGCCGTCGCTGGCAACGACGACCATCTCCTCGTCCGAGCCATCGCTGCTCTCGGCATCGACGTCGCCGTCCGGCAGCACCACCAGTACCTCGCTGTTGTTCTTGACCCCGTAATCCCGGACGGGCGCGGCCGGCTCCTTCAGCTGGCGGCCCTTGTAGAGGAGCTTGGTGCGGCGTATGCGGCGGTCCGACAGCTCCAGCATGACGCCGACGCGGTCCCGGACGTCGCGAACGCGTAGCTTGCCGTCGCCAATGGCATAGGCGGGGAAGTGGGCGGGATAGGTGACACCGTTGTTCTTGATGAGGAGCACGTCGTCTTCGGGGACGGCGCTGCCGCGGGGTCGAGGTGAGTGGGCGTAGGTTCTCGTGGGGACGGAGGATCCTAGCGAGGTGGATTGGAGGTCTTCGGTGGTGATGTAGCTAAAGTCTTCGTCCGTGACGTGGGGCACGCCGCTCAGAGTGGATGAATAGGGGGATATCTGGTCCCGATTCGTGGACCAGCCGTACCGAGACGACATGGTTAGGGGCACGGCGAGGAGGATGCAGGCGATGGTGGTGTAAAGGATGAGGTTCGGATCGATGCCGGTGGTGTCGGAGACGTATCGGGAGGAGTCGACGATGACCTTGGTGAGGCTGGCAATGGACTTGTCGAAATAAACCTGAAGGGTGGTGGGCAACAGAGCGGTGATGTTGGAAAGGGCAGCACCGGAAGATGCCAGAAGCGGCTGCTGACTGGAAGCCACCTTGGCGGAAGTAGGCGGTCCTTAAAGCTAAGGACGCTGCACCGGGGAAAGGGGAAAAAAAAGTGGAATGGGAAAGAAAAGGGTGGTGGAGGAGAAGGAGGAGGAGGGAAAAGTGAGGCAAAGGTCGACGGCGATGCTCGCGGGGAGGCGGTGGTCTGGCGGGATAGGGAATGATCGTGGGGATGCCCTCGTCTGGAGGGGGTTTCTTCCCCTTGCCGACTCGAACGAGGGGTTCGAAGACCAGGCCGTTCCGCAGTAACGCAAGTAGGCAAGGCGCAGGCTCTCTGCTGTAGGTCCTTGGAAGGCAGGGCTCTCGAGTTGATTGATGCAGGAAAGCGGGTTTTTGGGTCTGGCGCCGGACGAGACAAGCCTCGACGATCACCGGCCTGGGTCAAGGATCCAGGTGGTGGTTCGGGTGAGGCTTTCGAAGCAAGACGCTGTCAGCTTTCGGGGCGCGATGGAGGGGGTGGTGAAGGGCGTGAGCAGGCGGCGGGCAGGCAGGACAGGGGTGCGGTCGGAGCTGGAGCTGCGGCAAAACGAGAGGTGGCCCCTCTGGCTCGGGACTCGGGAGTATGACGGCAGAAAGTCGGGGACGAGGGCGTGTCGTGAGTGGTCACTGGCGGTGGCAGTGATATGGTGGTGAGCAGAGAAAACGAGCGGATGTGGATGTGGGATGTGGAGGGGAGGTTCTAGAAAACTGGGAAAGGTAGTCAGCGAATGACCGGGGGCCGTTGCGGAAGAGCCGCGGTCATTGGCCGGGCCGATGGACGGCGCCTTTTACTCTTTTATTTATTCTTGAATCAGTGTCGACAAATGCCTTGACGCGCAATTCAGGCCGTCTGTTGTAAATAACGTGCCTCGGGGAGGATAAAGATAATGCGTTCCAAGTCGTAAGTCCAATGGATTTTCGTTCCTTGAGAGCAGGATGATATGTTTCAATTCTTTTTTCTTTTCTTTTTTCTTTTTAGTTTTTTTTTGTCGCGTACATATATCCTGTACCCACCTACCTGCTCTTAGGTAATTCCCAGCACATTTCTCCGATGGTAGTAGACCAGACGGCGTGGCAAACACAGCAACAGCAACCGTCTCCCCCCTCTCGACGTGATACTGGCGACTGCGAGGCGTTTCCCGTACGATCCATGACTAGGCGACCAACTGAGGCGCAGGGATCTGTCGCTGATTCAAACCCAACCCAGCAGTGCAGCCTGCGTACCGCATCACGAATCTCACGACGTGCGCTGTGCTGTATGGGTGCCCGAGGATCCCTGGCCGGGCGCTAAACGCGGGTACCTGTGAGTGATGCGACTCGGACAGATCGGGCACCCTTTGCCCTGTGCAGCCTTGACACTCCACCACCGAGTCCACGGGGTCATGTACACCAGCGTACCCAAGGTGAGAAGGCAAGTTGACCGATGAGATCACGAGTTTGAGGTGCGCTCCTGCATCAGGGTCCTCTTATCTTATCGGCATTTCCTGATGCTTAACTCATCTCATATAAGTAAACCCAAGTGTCTGCCTACCTATAGGTAGGTACTTAAGCACCAGCCGCTGCCCGAACACTGCAAACGTCGTCCCGCGGTGGCCACACACTCAAGTAGTAAGCATATCAAGGATACACCTCCTATGCCTCTTGCACTCATCAAACAGGGGGTTTAAACACCAACACATGTGGTGAAGCGTTGGATTGCATTTGACGGCGTCCCTTCAGGACCGAGTAAAATAAATAAATAAATAAAAATCAGCAACTGAATGCGAGACAAACTGCGTATTTCTTCAACTACACAGTGCCACAAGCCTATTACCTCAGCTTACCTAACCTCAACACACTCAAAGTAACGCCCGGTCAGCCATCGCCTGCCCCGTCTTATAGATCGGCTCCCCCCACCAGCCGCTATCACAAGCCCATATCTGCCACGGCAAAGACCCTCCTCCGCCCTCCACCTTCTAGGGAGAAGGGGGAAAAAAACCATCGATTTGGAATCCCCGATTGCATCATCATCCATTTCGCACCATTCGCCCGAATTCGTCCTTCCAAAGTGCACGCGCAACTGGAATCAACCCACCGCAGCAGTGGTTGCGCGATACCTGACAAATACATAAACCCTACCCCCCCTCCTCCCCACTTCCCAAGTACCCAAGTACCTTAGCTGCGTTGCCGTACCTACCTACATTGTACTTATAACATCATCGCGCCCCTCTTCCCCCCTCCCTCTCTCTTTCTCTCCCGTAATGGCATTCCTATTCCGACGCCTATTCTCCTCATCAGCCAACAGATCACCAGAAACCATGGCCGCCGCCAAGCAGAAAGTCCAACAGCTCATCGACGAGAACAACGTCGTCGTCTTCTCCAAGAGCTACTGCCCCTACTGCCGCCAAACGAAGTCGACCCTCGACGAGCTCAACACCGACTACACCGTCCTCGAGCTCGACCAGATGGGTGAGTCTTGCTCTTTGCCTCCTTTGTCGCGTCGCACGCTCTGTTCCTCCTCCTCCTCCAACTTCCCTTTTCGCACTGCATCACGTCGCGTCGCGATTTGACAAAAGACCTCATGCTAACCTTACCCTCCCTCACCCGCAGAAGACGGCAGCGCCATTCAGGACGCCCTCCAGGAGATCTCGGGCCAGCGCACCGTCCCGAACTCCTGGATCGCCAAGAAGCACATCGGCGGCAACTCGGACCTGCAGGGCATGCTCAAGGGCGGCAAGCTCGAGAGCCTCCTCAAGGAGGCCGGCGCCCTCAAGGCGTAAGGCAAACCCTTCCACGTTCTTGTTGTTGTGTACGATGGTAGATGGTAGTGGTGACGGGGAGTGCTTTCGCGCACAGCAAGACAGAGAAGGCTGACCGGGGCCGCGACTTGGATCCGACACAAAAGGCCGTCCAAGCTCTAGCTCGACAAGCTGTAGCCCCACGTGTTTTCTGACTAGAGAGCAAGATCGGAGGTGACGACGTCGAGATATATACCACTGGGGAGTGTCGTCTTGGGATTAGAGAACTAGCGCGTAGAACTGCGTCTTTTGATGAGAATACATTGTTCTACACTAGAAGCAAAACATGAAAATCGCTTAGTTTAATTTGTGGCCCTTTTATGACAGGGTCTTTCTGCTCTTGATTGTACATGTATGGGTTGTGGGTTGTGTGTTTTTTCAATTTATTTTACAAAATCTTTTACATGGACGGGGCGGGCAATCCCTTCACACGACCTGCGTCGCAACGGTGCCGACCGGCCTCTCGACGAACTCCATGACGCCGTCGACGATGCTGTGCCGCGCGGGCTCGGAGGCGACGCTCTTGCCAGCCAGCCAGTTGAGCCACAGCAGCCTCGAGACGCGCTCGTCCTCCACGCTGCCGATCGTCTGCCGGCCGGAGCTCCTGCCGTCGTCGAGGATGACCTCGAGCGCGCCGCTGCCGTCGCGGCAGAGCAGCAGCTCCCGCTCCTTCTGCAGCTTGCCCCGGTTGAACAGCCTCTTGAACTCGCGCATGGCCTCGCCAAAGGCCTCGTCGCCGTAGGCCGCCTTGTCGGCGGCGGACCGCGCCGTGATGGCCCGCACGAAGCCGTCGCGCAGGTGGGGGAAGTCGGTGTCGCGGACGGGCACGATGCGGAAGGCGGTGCGGCAGCCGACCTCCTGCAGGAGCTCCGACCACGTCGCCTCGCCCTCCCTGGGGTCCAGCAGCTTGGCCTTGAGGCTGTCGCGCTCCGAGGGCACGAGCGTCGTGGCGATGGGGTCGATCTTCTGGGTGAGGTAGCGCTGCAGCCGGGCGACGTCGGCGGTGGCGACGTAGTAGCCCACCATGTAGACCTGGATGCCCAGGAAGGTGACGGTGCGGATGCCGAGGCCGACGAGCGTGTACTCGACGCCGTCCGAGTCGGCCACGGAGGCGGCGATGGGCGCGGCGGCCGGGTCGTCTCGGTGCGGCTGGCGGAGGGAGAGGTCGATGGTCCGGGGGAAGGTGGGCACCGTCTTGTTCCCCGTGGGCACGAGCTCCCTACCCTCGTCGTCATGGATGACGACCTTGCGCTTGCTGCCGGCCTCGGTCTTGAAGGTCTCGGTCGGCACCGACGAGTCGAGCTGGTAGCCGGAGCTATTGTGGTTGTTGTTATTGTTGCCATTGTTTCTGTAAAAGTCGGGGTCGCCATCGCCACAGTTTCCAGCGGCAGCGTTGTTGAGGGCGGCTTTGCGCTTCTCCTCGGCGGCGTTTTCGAAGGCGGCCTTGCGCTTCTCGGCGGCGTTTTCGAGGGCGGCCTTGCGCTTCTCCTCGGCGGCGAGCGCCTCGAGCAGCTTGTTGGACGTGTAAATGATGGAGATGATGCCAGCGAGGGCGCCGCAGGCGAGGAAGTAGGTGCGGTCGCGGTTGTAGTTGTAACGGGCCTCGTCGAGCCGCTCGAGGTTGTATTTTTCGACGGGGCGGGACGAGTTGCGCTGGCGAGAGAAGAAGGTGCGCCGCGTGACGGTTCGGACGGCGGGCTGCTGCAGACCCCTGGGCAGAGCCCGGAGAGCGTGTGGGCGAAGCATTGGAGGAGAGGGTAGCCTGGTGCACGGCGTTCGAGGGTTGTATCTTCCTCTCTCGCGAATCGTGGCGGTCGTCGTGGGGGATGATGCAAGGAGGGGGGATGAGCGTGTGTGGTGGGCTGATGATGGGCTCGGAGTTTCTTCAGACGGCGCGCGGGATGCTCGGGCGGGGACTGCCGTTGGAATCGTGGCAGCGACGGGCCCAGCTATTACAAGTTCGGGGCCGGACGGGTACGAAGACGCATTACCTGGTCATGTGGCAGGGTCTTTGAGGCTTTGCTGGCACAGACTGGCGAGCTGCAAGGAGAGTCTGATCCTCGCGAAGAGTCCGTACTCAGTATGCAGAGTGCGGACCACTTGGTTGAGGCTGAGAGGTGTCAGTGATGCAGATTGGGGAGGGGAGGGCAACGTAGCATTGCATAATTAGTTACACGTACGGATACGTTACCGTACCTTAGGTAGGTACGCTGTGAAAGCTGCAATTGGAGCTTCGCGGTCTGGAATGCCAAAATGTCAATGCATACGGATCTTCTCCACCCTCAAAAGGGACACAGAAAAAAACAACAAAAAAAACAGGTATACGGATATACTGAGTACGGATAGTAGGAGACCAATGGCTGTGGAGCGGCATGTGCTGGGTTCTCCAGAATGACGTAGTGTATCAGCCATCACGTGCTGACCTCCCACCCACCTCGCCGGGACATTCAGTACGTGCCGTACGTATCACATGGCATAGCTCGTGCACATGACATTCTACTCTCTCCTCGGATTCCAACCTTGAAGGTCCCTGAACATCTGTCCAGTGACGGGCGAAGCAAGGCCGGTGCAAACCGCCAGGCAATGCTAATCTTCTGCAGCTATAGATACTCACTCCCTCTGCGACCAACCATCTGTCAGGCTCGGCGAAGGGGACCGTTAGCCCGTGAGTCGCAGTGTAGCAGCAGCAACTAAAGGTCATGTCTGCCCCTCCGTCAGAGAAGGTTGACAGGGAGGGGCGACGTGTCTGTGATGCCAGGAGCGATGGGCGATGCTGAGTGGTCAGCCATCCGTGGCCGTCTAAGCGCCCACGCGTGATGGTGTCCCAGGATCGTGATGGTATCACACTGAGCCCCATCCCCCCCAAAGCCACCGCTCACGCGCATTTGCCCTTGGTCGCCGCGACGGGTGCCGTGAGCCTCCTCGCACCTATGCAGACGTCGACCGTTATCCCGGATCACCTTGCATATGGCGGCATCGCAGCACAGGACGGCTGTGCATTGCTCCCAAGGACTCGCGCATACGTATGTTTGGAGGTGGCTTCCCCCGGTTTCCTCCAACCGGGAGTGAATGATGGCTTACCTGCTGCATCCAACGCCCTCGCTCACGCCCGTCCCAACGACGAATGAGATGAGACCCTGGCCAGATGATCGGTCTCCGATGCCTGAACCCCCTCCCCCTCCCCGCAGACCCTACCCACGTTGGTAGCAAGGATGTCATTGCTGACATCACTGAAGCTTTCTACCCCTCAGCTCAGTCGGTATCTGCCACCGTGGATATGACTCTAGTGGTTGGGTTTCGAGGCCCATGAGTGTACGGGAAAAAAAAAGAAGAAAAAAAAAGAAGAAAAAAAAAGAAGAAAAAAAAAGAAGAAAAAAAAATCCCACCTACGTAAGTAAGGTGCCTGTAAAGGCGATTGTGGCTGCAGCCGTGTTTTTACGTGTCTCTTGACCTCCCTTATCTGCGTGCCATGAGCTAAAAAGGAGGCCGAAGGCCGAAGACCAGAGGCCAAAAAAAGCCAAAAGCTAAAAAAAGGAAAGTAAACAAAAAATAAAATAAGAATGGGTGTCCCTCAAAGCCGTCCTGGGATCCTGTCCGTGTGTTGATGAAGCTCGCAATTAGATGCCCACTTGAACAACGTACCGAAGACGCGAACCGGCTCTCGTAACCGCCGACCACCGACGTCTGACGTCCGACATCGTCTGCGGAACATGCCGTTGGTCCGACTGCGAACGAGCGTGTAGACTACCAGTAGCCCTGCGTCGTCATGCCATTGAAGGCACTCTCAGATGTGAGACAAGAATGGTCCAGATTAGGGTCAATGGAGCCGAGTCGGGATAGCAGAAATGAAACGGCATCGAATGAAGAAAAAGAAGAAAAAAAAAGAAGAAAAAAAAAGGGACAAAAGGGGTGAGCCATCATTGCGGGCCTAGCATTTCCAGCAGACGCTCAGCAAGACGGGAAGGCAAGCCGGAAAAGGTGAGGGTGTTACCGAAACAAGATAGACAACGAGATTGAAAGAATGTCTAACCTCGTTGGATGCGGACGGCATGATGGACAAGCATCCGAGGCCCTGACATCCCGTCTAGTAAGGCAAGGCAGAAGCAATTCATGAGACCGTCGCCATTCGGTGTTCTAGGCCTAGGCTTGCCTCGACTGATGAATGGAAAAGGCAATAGAGACGAGGAGGGGCGTCTGTGTCCAAGAGGCAGTAGTGTCCTGAAGCAGTTAGAGGGAGAGACGGCGATGCCCAAGCGCGCGAAGACAGACAGACAGACGGGTATCAAGCGCGGCCGTGGTCCCCGAGTAACGAAGAGGCGAAGGCAGGAAGCGATGCATGGCGGGCGCACGGACTTGTCGTTCATGATTAGACGGTCCCTTTCCCTGTGGTCCATGTTGGGAGTCTGTATGCAATCCATCTTCAATGGCATTTTTGGTCCGGGAGCCAATAACAAAAGGCATGTTGGGGAAACAAACCAAGAACAGGGGGAAAGGAACGCAGCAATCTAAGATGGTGGCTTTTCCAATCTTTCCGCAACGGCCGGGACTGTTTGTCATGATGAAAGGAACCGGCGGGAGACATTCCACAGGGTTATGTCGTTTGCAAATAGCGTCAGTACAAGCGCGCCATCCACTTATTTCCCTTTTGATTGATTTCAGGCGAGGCAAGCGATGACGATTCGAGGTGTAGATGTGGTATTCGTGGATGCATCTATTGGTACAGATGCGGTGGCTGCCCACGGGCACCGGGGGGTAAGGCACGGATGTTGTCTCCCTTTCCCGTGTAAGTGGAGAGGTACTGTTTCGCGCGCCACAGCAGCCAAAGATACCCGGGAGCGCTATGCGACGTTTCTTCAGGGGGGGCGCATGGCGCCGTCGAAAGGGCACGCTGCTTCGACATTACATTGACATGCTACTTCACAGAATAGCGACTGGCGCATTAACGCGCACAATATCTCCTACGAGACCGAGAAACGTGGCCCCACATTCCGCGTCGGGGAAATCGTCTCGTCTGTCGGTTTCGAGGCCGTTGCTGCGACCGGTCCAGGTCCAGGTCCAGTCTTTTGCCGCTGGTGAGTGAAAGGAGAAGCAGAGAGGAATTTTGGTTCCATATTACCATGTACAACGTACATCGTATACCTACCTAATACGTAGGTAGTGTGCCGAGGTAGCCAGCTGAGGTCATCATTCAGATTCCCGGCAGGTACCTACCGAGGCAGCGACGAATGGGACAGGGAGCCGCCTCGCCCCGTCCTGTCCTTCCCTCGTGCTTTAAAGGTAAAAGCGAAAGAGCTCGTTGCGGTCTCAGCCAGTCAGTCTATACGTACCCAAGTAGATAAACACACCTTAGGTAGGTACCTACCTAGAAACCACGAAAGGAGTGTGGGGTGATGAGAGAGTATCTAGGTAGTAGGTACAGACGGAGAAAAGTACGTATCCGGTACCGGAAAACCTGTCTCACGATATACCTACCGTACCGGTACCTAAGGGAGAGAGACGGTCACGAAGTATTGCCTCGCATCTTCAAGGCTGCAAGATACATCCAACTGGCCGCTGCTCCGCTCTTTCCCCCATGCTTCCGTGTCCCTCCCTCCCGTCCCTTCCGTGCTCCTCCCACCCCTTCCCTTTCCCTTTTCCTTTCCTCGCTGACATGGGTTGTTTGTAATTGGCGATTAGTAAGGTTAATACCTACATGGATAGGTACCTAGTTTAGGTACGTATCTGACAAGTGCTGTACACGTACCTCCGGGCGCGCCCGATTTGTACCTCCCTTGCGCACTCAACGTTGACATCGACGCCCTCAGCATCGTCTTCTTCTATTCTTCTCCTCCTTCGTCTTTCTTCCCCGGCCGATTTCCATCCCTCGGACTCTGCAATCAAATCAGACAACAGCAGAAGGGACGGCTACAGAGGGGAAAGGGGGTTCGCAAAAAGAAAACAAAGGAAAAGAGGGGAAGCCAGGCGTTCACCTTGTTCTTTTTTCACCGCAGCCTTGCCAAGTCACTAACTAGGTAGTGTATCTACCTACACTAGCAGTGTCGAGCGGTAGTTTAGCACTGTGCACTGTACCTTCCTCATGACGCCTCTCCAGTGTCTTGCCTTGTCTTACCTCCGCACCTCCAGGTCTCCTGCCCGCTGTAGCACCACAACCCAGCCGCATGGCAGGACATTGCAGAGCATTGCAGATCTCCCCCTTCCTCTTTGGCCTCCGACAGTGACTCAAAACATTAATTAGGCAGGTAGGTTGGTAGGAAGGTAATACTATGTAACAGAGTCTCTTGCCCTGCACTTGCACCTACCTAAGCCTTGGAGTAAAGCCTTGGCATTTCTTCCAGGCTAGTCAGTCACAGTCCAGTCCATCCTTCCTTCCATCCTTCAGTGTCCCCTTGTTTCCACTTCCAGCCCGGTTTAGCCCCAACAGGTGTCACCTCTTCGTCCCCGATTCCTCTGCCCTCGAGGTCCAAAACCCACAAACCAACCACGGGCTGCCACCGCCAACAGCAAAAATAGAAGAAGAAAGGAAGACGAGAAAAAATACCCCCCCCGGTCGTCATTCGCCGTTTGATCGTGTTGGTCACTGCTGTTGCTCCATCCTCCTAGCGCCCTTTGCTTACTTACTCGCCTTCTGTTCAGACATCCTCTTGCTGTTACGACACCACACGCATGAATAGACAACGACGGACTGAGAAGACGACGGAGCAAAAGACATATAGATGGAAAGAGAGACAGACAGACAGAGAGACAGTGCCGCCGCGAAGACTTGCATCACCGCATAACCGCCGCATCGCATCGCGTCGCATAGCATCGCATCTTTTTTACTGCAACCGCAACCCACGCCCCTTTCAATCCATCACACACGAAGCCGCCCAACAACCCGTGCTGGGCCTCGCGACGCGAACCAACCGTCTCTCAACTTCTCGTCCCGTCCTCTCTCTCTCCCTGACCTCATTTTCCTCCTCGTCACTGGAACTTCAGACCAAGAATCACCCGTCACTAGAATACATTTCTTGCCCACCGTTCGCCTCCCCCCACGTCCGTCCGACGATCCTTCTCTTTCTCTCTCTCTCCCGCCCGACCGACAATAAACAGTGTCTCTCCCTGACGTCTTTGTTTCTTCTGCTTCCGCCTTCTCGCCTCGCTTCGCCTCGTCCTTCCCTCAACTTGGCACGCCGTTCGTCGCACAAAACCCTCCCGCACCCTGCCCTGCACCACCAAAGCCACTGCACGGGTACCTAGACGCAAACTGTACACAGTACTTCGACCCCCCCCCCCCCCCCCCCCCCCGCTGCCCCCCGCCGCCCTGTGTGCTAACCCAGTCAGTCAGTCAGTCAGTAGCTACCTACCTACACCTACCTCTTCTACCAACCACCTGCCCAGTGTCAGCATCTGCACCGCTACCAGCACCAACACCGCCGTCTTCCTTGTTCCTGTTCCTCCACTGCCGGAGCCTCTCCATTTCCATACTTTGTGGGTCAGCCGTCACTGTCACACTATTCAGCGTCGTGGCACTGGTTCTTTCGCCTTTTCACAACCCTCCGATCTGGTGACAAATCCCCGTCATCCACCTTGCCGACCCAACCACAACCCGACCAACCTTTGCACAAACAACAACACGACCGCGACGACGAGAACACCTCCTTCGCTCGACTTCGCTGCTGCCCGAACCTTCAATCTCCGAACGGGGACTCGACTCCCCTTTCCCCTCCCCCATCTCCATTGACCGAATAGCCTCGAACCCTTCGACTCGCCAGCCCTCTGCTCGCGCGCTCTCTCTCTCCCTCTCGCACGTCGCCGCCCATCATGAGGCCTGCCGCCCCCTCGATCGAGATCATGGCGGTTCAGTCAGCCACCCCCGACTCCCGCTCCTCGTCCTCGACCAACTCGCCTCTCCCCGCCGACAACGAGGAGTCGGACTTCTTCATCGCCGGCAACGACTCTCAGTCGTCCCTCGGCGTGCCCAACATTGAGGACATGCAGGTCAACGACGACCCGTGCCAACCCGCCGTCAACCGCTTGCCCAGCGAGATTCTCATCTCCATCTTCGCCAAGCTCAACAACACATCTGACCTCTTCCACTGCATGCTCACCTGCAAGCGCTGGGCGAAGAACTCGGTCGACCTTCTGTGGCACCGTCCCGCCTGCACCAACTGGAGAAACCACTCGTCCATATGCCAGACGCTCCAGCTTCCCACCCCCTTCTTCGCCTACCGCGACTTCATCAAGCGTCTCAACTTGGCTGCCGCCCCTCTCGCTGACAAGATCAGCGATGGCAGCGTCATGCCTCTCGCCGTCTGCACCCGCGTCGAGCGACTCACCCTGACGCACTGCCGGAACCTCACTGACCAGGGCTTGACGAAACTCGTCGAAAACAGCTCTTCTCTTTTGGCACTCGACATTTCGGGCGACGAGAACATCACTGACGTCTCCATCCTCACCATTGCCGACCACTGCAAGAGACTGCAGGGCTTAAACATCTCCGGCTGCCGCCTGATCACCAACGACAGTATGATTAAGCTTGCCGAGAACTGTCGCTACATCAAGAGGGTATGCACCTTTCCTTCTTTTTTTCTTTCTTCTTTCCATTCTTTTCTCAGTACCGTCTCTGCCGCCTGCGTGCCTTCGCAGCCCGACGTCTGTGCTGTGGTCTCGACAGTGACGCCTCGTCCCCCGCTCCTGCCGTTTGCATTTTTGGCTGACACAATTCCCACTCCAGCTCAAACTCAACGATTGTCATCAACTACGAGATAATGCCATCCTTGCCTTTGCCGACAACTGCCCCAACATCCTCGAAATCGACCTGCATCAGTGTGCTCAGATTGGAAACGAGCCCATTACCGCACTCATCGCCAAAGGCCAGTCTTTGCGCGAGCTCAGGCTGGCAGGTTGCGAACTCATCGACGATTCGGCCTTCATGACGCTGCCACTTGGCAAGACATACGATCACCTCCGTATCCTCGACTTGACCTCGTGCGCCAGGCTCACCGATCAGTCCGTGCAGAAGATCATCGACGCCGCCCCCCGTCTCCGCAACCTTGTTCTGGCCAAGTGTCGCAACATCACCGACGTCGCCGTCAATGCTATTGCGAAGCTTGGTAAGAACCTGCATTACCTGCATCTCGGTCACTGCGGCCACATCACCGACGAGGCCGTGAAGCGACTTGTTCAGGCATGCAATCGTATACGTTACATCGACCTGGGATGCTGCACCAACCTCACTGATGACTCGGTCACGAAACTGGCTCAGCTTCCCAAACTTAAGAGAATCGGCCTTGTCAAGTGCAGCAGTATCACCGACGAGTCCGTGTTTGCTCTCGCCCGTGCCAACCATCGCCCTCGCGCACGCCGAGACGCAAACGGCAACATTGACGAGTACTATTCGTCCAGTCTCGAGAGAGTCCATCTCAGTTACTGCACAAACTTGACCCTCAAGGTATGTTTTGTCACCTTTGACACAATCGATATCCGCACCCCATGCTGACAGCTCGCAGAGCATCATCAAACTACTGAACTACTGCCCGCGCCTCACCCATCTCAGTTTGACGGGAGTTACTGCTTTTCTCAGGGAAGAGTTTGGCGAGTTCTGCCGTCCTCCTCCGCCCGGTACGTTCCTTGTAACCGTTGTCGTGGCGACAGCAATAAATACTAATAAAGGGCTCAGAATTCACCGATCACCAGCGTGGCGTGTTTTGCGTCTTTTCCGGTACCGGCGTTTCGAGACTCCGCGATTACCTCAACTCCTCTGCTGAATACGAGAGCTTGCGCGATTCGCCCGCCCGGTTCCCCGGCATTCCGGGATTCGGCGCCCGTCGCCCGGCGGACCCCCGTAATGCAACCGCCGGCAATACTGAACAGGCCAACGGGGATGGCGAGGCTGATGACGCCGAGGTGCCGGAGGACGACGACTTTGAGGGTCTGGACGGCAGCGAAATGGCGGTAGATGGCCAACCCCTATTGGCACAGAACCTGGTAAACGGCAATGCTCAGAACGGCGTTCCTCCGCCTCCGCCAAACCACGTGCCTTCGACCAGCGCCGTGCCCATGTTCGCACAACCTCTGGGCCAGGCTCCCTTGCTCTTCAGCCCCATCAGCCCAGCGTTTCCTCAGTCGGCTCGCTCGCCAACGACCGGCGGCCCGTCCAACCACGCACCGCCCCTGGTTGTGTCTAGCCACTACTCTCAGACGAGTCCAGGACCCAGCACATCGACAGCAAACACTCTATCGCCCCAGGGAACAAACCTTGGGTTCCCGGCATACACAAGCAGGAGGCCCGCACCTCTAGGCGCCAGTACTGCGTCGATGGAAGCTTCCATGCTCAGCCCGGCTAACCACCAGAGTCGCCCAGCGAGTATCATCTCCATGGAGGCATCGATGCTGGGGCCCGCCGATCCGGAGATGACGGAGCCGTCCACGTCCAACGGGCAGCATCAGCACGCGTAACCTGGAGGAACGGAGTTTTGGCGGGGCTCTCAATCCCGATTAAGAGCGTTGTTGGAGAATTATGATACGCTGGCATGAGATACGCAAATACAATATACCCAGGAGCGCGCGGGAAACACCGGGACGAAAAGGATTGACTGGTACAGGCAGGGGAGGGTGTTGTTTACCACTTTTAAAACCTCGGTTGGGCCTTTTTCTTTTTCTTTTCTTGTCCAATGTAGCCTTTTTGGCATCGATATTGCCATTGGAATGGGGTAGATGAGTGCAGCAAAGCATACAAGTATCTTGGGAGGCGTTGACGGCTCTGCCTTGTTTTGGCCGCCCGACGGGGTTTGCTCTGGCTCCTTGGTCTGATTCTTTGCGTACAGCATCGGTCACTTGGCTTCGTTCATTTTGTTTTCATGCGGCGGTAGACCATTGGCTCCCTTTTCCTTCTCTCTGTCTGTTTTTTTTTTTTTTTTCTTTTTTCTTTTCTTCTATTTACTTATTCAAACTCAACTCGTTGGTTGACCTTTACTTTGGTAGCTAGGAAGCAGGAGGTCCGAAGTTTTGAGATTGAGGTATCGGCCTCAGGAAGACACTACTGTATCAAGTATACACAAGCATCGACGAGGAAACACAAACATTTTGCAGCCATATAATGCGAAAAGGAGGCCATCATGAGACGTGTAATGCTTCTTTGTTCTTTCCTTTCTTTTCTTTTTCCTAACGATCAATCGCCGTCGTCCCTCGATGTGTCGTGATGCGTCGAGATGTCAAAAGTCCTCGGGTCCAAAACCAAACGCCTTTGCGCGAGGTGCCGCGCTATATAGTCCACTCATGCCCGTTCGCTCTCTCTCTCTCCCTATCTTTCTCTCTCTTCACACCTCAGAACGTCTAGGCGGCAAACCCTCCGTTTCCCGCATCACCAGAAACCTGACGTTACGGATCCCCCGCCTTGTGCCTGCGCCTCCGCCATCTTTTGCATGACGAACCAGTGTACAATGTCCCTGGCGGCCAGCGCGTCCTCCAGGCTGTCGTGGCCCTGCTTCGCTTTTTGGATCTGGCGGTCGAACATTTCGGCCGTGAGTGCCTTGAGGGAGAGGCCTCCAGGCTTGCGCCTAACCCTGGCTTTGGCGACCGAGGGCTTCTTCGGGTTCTCTATGTTGTCCCGCGGCCCGAGGGCGAGCTCTTCAAATGAGATGAGGTCGCCGTCGTCGTCGTCGCCGTCGTCCTCATCATCCTCCTCCTCCAAAGTGGTGAGGGTGGCAGCAGCCTTCTCTTCCTCGTTTCCTTGCTCGCCATGCTTCTCCTCGTTCTCGCCTTCCTCCTCGCGCTTCTTCTTCTTCTTCTTCTCCTCTTGCTCGCGCTTCTCCCGCTCAGCACGTGCGGCGGTGGCGAGGACGAGCGAGTCGACGACGAGCGGGTGGATCCAGCGCAGGGCGGCGAGGTCGTTGTGGACGGCGTGGCCGACGACGACGGTGCTGGGGCCGACCCAGCGCCAGACGGCGGCGCGGACGGCGGCGGGACCGCCGGAAATGCACTTGCCCTTGTCGCGGGCCTCCTTCATCTGCTGGCGCGACACGCCGGACCACTTTGTGTTGTAGTGCTGCATGGGGACCTGGGGGTAGACGAGGCTGTCGAGGAGGATCTCGGAGGTGAAGTAGTCGACGAGGGTGACGCGGATGAGCTCGGACTCGCCGTCGTAGGCGGTGCCCATCTCGCAGTCGATGGCGACGGCGAAGTGGGGTCTGCGGGGGGGCGGCGCCGCGCGGGAGGAGGAGACGGCGGTAGTAGTAGTAGTAGCGGCGGCGGGGGAGAAGGCAGGGGTGTGGTGGTATTGGTGTCGGGTCTTGAAGTCGGCCCGGGCATAGGTCCGGGTAAGGTGCTCCGGGGCCCAGGTACAGCCCGGGGCGGAGGCGTGAGCGCGGCAGCAGGTCCAGTACTGGTGGTCGTGTAAGTGAGAAAAGGGTTCGGTCGAGATGAGGAGGGAAGGGATCGGGGGGCGTACCATGCGGTCAACGCGGCCGGTGTGGTATCGGCACTTGAGAATCGGTTTGGAGTGCTTCTCGTGGGACGAGGGGTCGGGGTCGAAGGTAGGCTCCTTGGGCGCCTTCTTTCCGTCTCTGTCATCCGGCTTGTACTTGTTCTTGTTGTTGGAGCCTGCAGGGGGATGTTTCAGTAGAGGCGGACTAACCTCGGGGCAAGGGAGGAAAGACTAACAGCGGAGGTTGCACTTGCGGCAGCGTTTTTTATCGTCCATGTCGGCTTCGGAGAGCGGGTGGACGACGAAGCCGTTCCTGACGAGGACGTCTCTGCGGTGAGCCATGGAGTGCAGCTGGCGCAAGTAGAGCTGGGTCGGCTCGATGGCGGTCGAGGGGGTTCCGTAGGGGTTGGGGGTCTGCTGGGCCTTTGCAGGTTCCAGGTGTGAGGCCATCGTCGCGTGCTCAAAAGGCGACACTAATACGTGATGGAATGGAATGGTGGGAAGAGAGAGAGAGAGAGTGTGTGTGTGTGTGAGTGTGCGTATGTGTCCTTGTCTCTGGCGGCAAAGAGTTGTGTTTGAGAAAAATAAATTGTTTTCGTTTTCTTTTTTTCTTTTTTCGTTATCGGGTATAAAGGAGAAAAAAAGGGAAGAACAATGGTGGCAGACGATGGCTTTTATGTCCATTCAAGTCGCGGGATGGTGAAGGTGCGGACCACACGACGCCGGAGGGTTCCTGCAGTCGCGTTTGGCCCCCACGTCTGCCCTTTCCCGTTGGTGATAGAGACAGAGAGAGAGAGAGAGGGAGAGGGAGAGAAAAGTAAAGCGTGTCTGTCTGGAGGCAGACAAGATAGCTCATTGACGGTCGTCTGCCTTCACCGTCCAACACTAGAGGGTATTTCCACTTCTAGGGGCGAAGGGGTGGGGGTGGTGATGAACGACGACGTTGGAAGGAGGATTATGAGATGATGAACGTCACCCTCGACTGTTGGTGGGCGATGCAAGGGGGAAACGACCCAGTGCCCCGGCCTTGATCCTGGAAGGGATAAATAATCCTAGCAGAATTGCTCAGCCTCACAGGCCACCGGTCGTTTATGAGGCCCTTCTTGAAGCGACTTTTTAGACTCGGTCCATCTCGGTCAAAAGGGCGGTCATGTCTTGCCTTGTGAGTGCGCGCGCGTGTGTGTGTGTGTGTGTTACTGATGTCGCGGGTGATGACAGCTCGTGGGCATCAGGTGCATAGCCTCAGCCAGGCTGGAATTATCCGTATGAATTGCATGATTATTGCTCAGAGGTTAGAAGCTGCCGATGTTCAACATAGGAGCAGTTGTTATATTTGCGGGGTTTCAACCTTGATGTTCATCCACGCAGATCAAGCTGTTTTCTTCTCAGCATTACAATGCGACAGAAAAACATGCGGAAAAAACCTTTCCTCTCTTTGGAATCCGCGAAATCCCTTCATTGAACGTTAATCATATCAGAAGAACCTACTCAGCCTATTTCGAGTAGAAATCAGCGAAAGGGAACGTTTCCTGTTATCTAGAACAGGCATGGCGGGACATGATAGAGTTACGCTCAAAGCTCGGAAACGTCCACAACGACCCGGGGCCAGGGCACAGTCTCTCCCACCAAACTCAACTTGGGACCAACGCGTCCACACAATCAAGGTTTCGTCGAGGGAGTCCAGTATCGTCATGGTGACAAAAGCGAGTGTTTTACAAGGCTTTCCAAGCTCGGCCTTGTGAGGTTGTGCGGACTGCTCCGCCATTCCGAGTGAACTGAGCACTAGTGAGCAGATCATCGGCTGGGGGACAGGCAGATATATGAATGAGATGATCAATATAAGAAATCCAGCCACATGTTTAAAGTTTGAATGTCTTATTCCCTCATAACTACGGCTTTATATGAAGTCCGATGAGTGAGTAATGAATTCATTCATTCATTCAGTTGAGGGGCGATGAGATTGGTGAGAGGCCGCCTCACCGAGAAAGACCCACTATGACAGCCCCCTTCGTCCAATCACGTGTCCTCCACCAAAGCGGGGCTCCACCGTCTTTGCCCTGACGCGTCTCGGTGGGCAGCATTTCCGCCGTCCACAAACGACATCGAAGCCATCGTCATCCATCCTAGTCCACCTCTCTCTCTCCCGTTGTCCACCAGCAAACTCCTCGACGCCTCAGTACGTGCACTTGCCGCAATAGGAACACTTCTCCGAGCACGCAGTGTAATCATCGTCCCCGACGGCCCATGCAAAATCGTCTTCCGCCTCTCTTTCCAAGTCATCAGCCCGCCTCTCAGCTCCGCTCACCTTGCTCTTGGCGTCCGAGGCCAGCCAATCCTCCCACTTGGCCATCATGTCAGCCGAGAATGCGAGAGGCAGTTCGGGGCATTGCTCTCGAACTTGGAGCGTCGAAGCCTCCTGCCGGATGACCTCGAGCCGTCCATCTCGACTCGTATGAGCAAGACCGACGATGCGATGCAAGAGTGCTGCCAGCTGAGAGAGCTCCCGCTGCATCGACTTCTCCCACACCTTGACCTTTTCCGACACATCCATGACCTCGATCTCGGTGAAGGTGCCCCGCTGGTGGTAGGCCAGGATGAAGTTGGGGATCTGTGCCACCCACAACCGAGGAAGCTCCTCTGCAAGGAAGTCTTTGCCTTTGCGGAGCATGGACCGTGTCTTGAGGTCGAAAACCGCTGCCTGGGGTACTTGGAAGCCTCCCGGCTGCGAGCTCAGCGGAGACGAGTGACTGGGACTCTTGGACTCCATTTCACTGGCGTCCAAGCCTTGAATCAGCGAGTCGACAGACCACTTTTCGCTAGCGACCGCACCGCCTCCATCTAACAACGACCCAAGCTTGTCTGCGAGGTAGCCGTCACCCTCGTGCCGGACCACACAGCTGAGCCCGCCAAAATCGTACCGAAGCACGCGCTGGTGGGATGCGGACCCGCGCACGCCGGCATCCCAGGTGGTGTAGGCTTCCGGGAATGTGTGTCCGTATCCTCTGACACTGGGAATTGTCTCAGTGGGCGAGTTCTCCCTCCGGATCAAGTGCACGGCGCCCCCAACCACCTCGACGAGCATCCGGAAAGGCCGCTCGTCACCCCGAACGAAGCGTAAGAGGTTTCCGATGGTGCTTCCGCAGCCGACAATGTCCACCGGCTTCTTGAATGGCTCCGGATGCATCGTCAGAACGGCCAGGGCGGTAGGCTCCATCGGATGGGCCGGGTACCTGGCGGCGTTCTTGTCGCGGTAGTAGACACCGCTGTCTTCTGCTAGCGGCCGAGGCTTTGCAATGGGCGTCCATCTTGGCGGCGCACCTGAACCGGGTTAGCAGAATTACAAAGAAACTTCCGAGTTGTTGGATTTCATGTACCTGGGATCAAGACCGACGGCGCCGTCTTGTCGAGCCAGTTGTATGACGCCACCAGCTCGCAGCTGGTAACCTGAGCAGAGGCTTCAAACTGCCCGGCTGTCACCGACAGCTCCGCTATGTCGACTGTCTCTACCAGCGACCCGAACGGCGGCGCTGCTGATGGCGTTTCCGGCTCTGGCTTCCGCCACCGAGACTTGCTTTGGAATTGGTTGTACTTGTTCTGTCGATACATTATGGCCCAGAGAGATGAGATCCACGCGGGTGAGTAAAATGAATTGGAATACTAACTTCCAGACTGCACATCCAGGCGTTTTATCATCTTCGCCCATCAGTTGTTTGTCTGTCTGCCTTGTAGGCGCCACGCAGGGTGCCTAGTACGTACCGCTTCCATGCGGCCGTCATGCCGGAGGCCGACCATGCCCCCCAACCCTGCCCGCAGCAAACGGCGACGGCGACCGATTTTGCGGCCTTCTGTTGGTTGCTGTTCTTCTACTTTGACTTCTGCTTCGATGTTCTTTTTTGTACCCAACAGACCTACAAAGCCTTTGGCAGCCAGAGCCTAACCTTATCTGCCTACGAGGTGCAGCTCTGCATGGGATGAATAGCCGCCGTCCCTGCAAGAGATGTTGTTGGTCTCTTATCTTGCTTTTTCGCCCATTTGCTTGTTCTTTTCAACCCTGCCAGGCAGATCAGAGACAAGAGGACCGCAGTCAGATAATTACCGATGCAATCTCAGTCGCTGACCCGCGTTCGTATCCGGCTCTTTGTTTACCGTCCTGCCGTCCATAAGACCCAAGAGTTCCTCCAAAGTATCTGGTCCCATCTCCATTTCTTGCACACCACATCAGAAAGCATCATGGCCTCCACCGTTACCGACGCCCAGCGTGCTTCTCGCCTGTCCAAGGCTTTTCGGGACGTCACCCAAGGCGGGAGGGCAATCACCACACCTGCCGTTGCCCGCCTGTTCCTTGAGGCGATCCGGACGAACCCTTCTCCGGCTGCTTGTTTGGAGACCATCATTGCTAGCGATGTTGCCAAGGATGCCGTTCGACACAGCATCCGGATCGACTCATCGACCTCCTTCGTCCAAAAGCACGTCATTCCCTTCGTTGCGTACCTGAGCGATCCCGGAGTGAAGATGATGTACAACGGCGACCTCCTTCGTCAGCTCCTGCTTATCATCGCCCAGCCCCCCGTACTCTGGGGCAACCTCTTGCGCACCTATCGGGCATCTGAGTTGACAGAAGGCGAGCTCTACGTGTTTGCCTGGCTCTGCTTCGAGCTGGCAAGCCTTTCTGACAATGGGCTTGACAACATCGTCGACGATATATCTGCCGCCTTGGAGCAAGCACCGCTGAAGGAGGCCCAGGACCACAGGACCCGTGACCTCACTTACAGAATCAAGAAGGTGCTGGACCTCAGATCGTCCGCCTCCCCCGACCAGGGCCTTGAGGCGGCTGGCGGCCGTCATGACAACGACTTTGCCAATTTTCGGGACATTCTCATCTTTCCCACCAGTGACGAGTTTTACTCGAGTGCCTTGCCCTTCTACCGTCGCGCGGCTGAAATCGCCAGCGTCGACTACGCGCAGCGCCCGCGCGTGCATCTCGATAACCAATTCCGCCTTCTCCGCGAGGATATGCTCGCAGAGCTTCGAGACGACCTGAAAATATCCACGGGCAGGAAGAAGAGCAACAAGAAAGCCCAGATCCTCGCCGGGCTGAGACCCATCGGCATCGACACTGGCGACGACAAACGAAGCCACTCCTGTGCTGTGCGTGTTGCTTGCTACGAGGGGCTCCAGTTCCTGAGGAAGCTGACGCCAGCGGGGCGTAAGACCTTTCTGGACGACCACAAGAGCGTCCTCCGCCATCAGTCTTTTGGTGTCTTGTGCGGGGACAAGCACATCATCGCCTTCGCCTTCCTCCTTCGTGATGTGGATGAGCTTGTCAAGAGTCCGCCCGTCGTCGCCCTGCAGTTCACCAGCAGCGATGCCACTGCCAGAGCTCTGCTGGCCCTTAAAGCGCCCGCGAGCCTAAAGTTCATCCTGGTCGATACTCCCGTCTTCGCCTACCAACCTGTTCTGGAATGCCTACGAGACATAGTAGAGATGCCCCTCGGAGGGGAGTTGCTTCGCCTTGGAACTGATGACGAGGGCGACCGCTCGCCCACTCCCTTGCAGCAGTCCTCCCACATTCAGATCTATATTGAGAAGCTACAACAGCTCGTCGAGTCCAAATCGCACAGGCTCGTCCTCGGTGAACCGGGCCCCCGTGGCCCCCGTGGCCTCCGTGAACGACGCTTCGACCTTGACGGGTCTCAGATTCTGTCTCTGCTGCACGCGCTGGAGAATTCGGTGGCCCTCATTCAAGGACCTCCTGGTAAGTCCTGTCTACTTGGCTCGCCTGAACCTGGAAGCGGAACTGGAGACTGATTCGCCTCATTCTAGGAACCGGCAAATCCTTCGTGGGCGCACTGGCAGCCAAGATCCTACTGACGGATCCGTCAAAACGTATTCTGGTGCTCAGCTACACAAACCATGCGCTCGACCAGTTTCTGGAGGATCTCATGAAGATCGGTATCCCGGCAAGCGATATGGTGCGACTGGGCTCCAAGTCTACAGAGGCAACCGCGTCGCTATCCCTGGACAAACAGCTTCGCGAAGCGACCACTTTCCGCCGAAGTCATCGGGCATGGCAACTCATTGACGGAGTGAAGGAAGAGCTCGGTATAGTCAGAGACGAAATCGATCATGCATGCAGCGGCCTGGTCCGAGGGAGAGTCAGCTCAACGGAGATGTTGAGTTTTCTCGAGTTTTCCGAAAATGAGCAGAACTTCTATGAGGCCTTTCTTTTACCCGAACAGGAGCAAGGCTTCAAGATTGCGGGCAGCAAAAATCAAGAGATGACGTCCGCCCACTTGCTCGAACGGTGGGCGCAGGGGCAAGGTGCTGGCCAACTCCGCAACCTCATGTCGCCTTCGAGCAAGCGTATCTGGAACTTATCCAAAGGGGAGAGGTCCCAGCACCTCCAGACCTGGACAAAGTGTATACAGAAGGAGCAGATCGAGGCGGTCCAAGGTCTGGTCAGACGCTTCGACGAGGCCGACGAGAAGCTGGCCACTCTCTTCAACGAGAACAAGTGCTCCTTCGTGCAGACGAAGAGGCTCATTGGGTGCACGACCACCGCAGCCGCCAAATACAAGTCGCTGATCAAGGCTGCAAAGCCGGACGTCGTCCTCGTCGAAGAGGCCGGAGAAATTCTCGAGGCCCACGTGCTGACGGCCCTGCATAGCGAAACGAGCCAGCTGATCTTGATCGGAGACCATAAGCAACTCCGACCTAAGATCAACAACTATAAGTTGAGCGTCGAGAAGGGGGAAGGGTTCGACCTCAACCGCTCGCTCTTTGAACGGCTGATTCTCCACGGGCACGAACACATCACGCTACAGAAGCAGCACCGCATGCATCCCGACATCTCGGACATTGTGCGGCAGATGACGTACCCTGCTTTGTTGGACGACCCCAAGACTGAAGCACGAAAACCTCCCAAGGGACTGCACGGCAGACTGAGCTTCATCAACCACGACCACCCCGAGGACCTGGCCGATGACATCACCGATCGCCGCGACGACGGCGCCCCCTCTAGCAAGCAAAACCGTTTCGAGGCGCAGATGGTCCTGAAGCTTGTCAAGTATCTGGGCCAGCAAGGATATGGAACTGAGAACCTGGTTGTTCTCACGCCCTACCTCGGGCAGCTTCGTTTGCTCAGGGACATGCTGAGCAAAGAGAACGACCCATGGCTCAACGACCTCGACTCGTTCGAGCTCACCCGCGCGGGACTGATGACCGCGGCGGCGGCCAAAGTGAAATCTGGACCAGGGAGAATCAGGCTGTCTACTATAGGTAAGAATGGTGCGATCCTTCACTAAAGGTTCTCTCGGGCTCATCTTGTTTAGACAATTATCAGGGAGAGGAAAGCGACGTTGTCATTGCTTCTCTGACAAGAAGCAACAGCAAGGGCGACATTGGATTCATGAAGGCGCCCGAACGCCTGAATGTGCTGTGCTCCCGAGCTAGAGAATGCCTCGTCTTGATAGGGAACATGGAAACGTTCATGGCATCTTCGCAGGGCAAGGCGGTCTGGAATCCATTCTTCGAATTGCTCAAGGAGAAGGGGTATCTTCATGATGGCGTGTCCATCCGGTGCGAACAGCATCCCGAAAAGACGGCATTGCTAAAGCAACCCGAGGACTTTGATCTCAAGTGCCCAGATGGAGGCTGCGACCAAGTCTGGTGAGTTGCGGAGATACCGATCGATGGCCGCGTACCCAACTACGCGCGGGTTCTACGATGCTAACGACGTACACACAGCAATGCCATTTTATCATGTGGAAAACACCCATGCCAGATGCGTTGCCATCGGATTGTGGACCACAGCAAGTCACCGTGTGACCAACGCATCGAGAAGACATGCGACCGCGGCCACAAGTTCCGCGTCCCTTGCAGCAAGCAAAACGTCGCGTGTCACTCGTGTCTTAAGGAAGACGAGGATACCCGAAGGAGGATTCAGCGAGACCTCAAGATGGAAACTGAACGCCACTTGGCACAGAAACGGTACGCGCAGGACCTTCAGCAGATACAGGACGAGCTTGACCATGAACGACGTCTACTCAAATTCGCTCAAGAGCAAGACGACCACGAAAAGACACTTCAGAAGACGCGCGAAGAGCTCGAGGCCCTCCGACAGACGAGATCTCGAGCAGAGACGATGAAGGCGGCGGCCAAAGCCCAGTCAAATAGCCAGGCAAATCACGTACAGGGCGACGAACCTAAGCTGCATGAACCTCCTGCCCCCAATAGTGCCGAGTCAGAATGGGCCAGCATGAAGCGGGGTGGGGCGAGCAGCACTGTCTTGGATACGCTGATGGGCATGATTGGCCTGGAGAGTGTCAAGGAGGAGTTTCTATCAATAAAGTCCATGGTCGATACTGCGGTGCGACAAAACATCTCGCTGTCAACCGAGAGGTTTGGCTGCACACTCTTGGGAAACCCTGGCACTGGTGAGAAGACCTTTATCGACCGCGTATGCTGGAAACTAACACAAAACAGGCAAAACAACTGTGGCGCGAATCTACAGCAAATTTCTGACCTCAGTTGGTGTCATAGCCGGCAGCGGCTTCAACGAAACCTCCGGATCGAAGCTTGCGTCGATGGGAGTCGCGGCCTGTCAGAAGATGCTGGAAGACATGCTCAACGATGGTGGCGGAGTCGTCTTCATCGACGAGGCCTACCAGCTATCGTCCGGAAACAGCCCCGGCGGCAAAGCTGTGCTTGATTTCCTGCTTGCCGAAGTTGAGAACCTGACAGGAAAGATTGTCTTCATCCTGGCCGGCTACAGCAAGCAGATGGAGTCTTTCTTCGCCCACAACCCAGGCTTCCCCAGCAGGTTCCCGAAAGAGATGAAGTTTGACGACTACAACGACGATGAGCTTCGGCGTATCCTCGAGGCGCAGATTCACAAGAAGTACGGGGGCCGCATGAGGTGGGACGATCCTCTTTACGTCCGGGTCGTCTGCCGGAGACTCGGTCGAGGACGTGGTAAAGAAGGATTCGGCAATGCGAGAGCGGTCGAGAATCTTCTCGCCAAGATTTACGGCCGGCAGGCCAACAGAATCCGCAAAGAACGCCTCGCCGGGGGGACCCCGGATGACCTCATGCTCACCAAGGAGGACCTGGTAGGCCCGGAACCCTCCAGCGCTCTCAGCAATTGTCAAGCCTGGGCCGAGCTACAACGCCTCATTGGTCTCTCGTCGGTCAAAGAGTCGGTTCGAGCCTTGGTCGACAGCATCCAGACGAACTATGTTCGAGAACTTGCGGAGGAGCCCGTCATAGAGTATTCCCTGAACAAGGTCTTTCTCGGGTCGCCCGGGACAGGGAAGACCACAGTCGCAAAGCTCTACGGCCAGATCCTGGTCGATATTGGATTGCTTTCAAATAGAGAAGGTAAGTGCTGTAGCCATGACTACACCCTCTCAAAAAGCTAACTATGAGTAGTGGTCGTCACGAAGCCGTCCGACTTTGTGGGCGCCGTTTTGGGCGGCTCTGAAGCGAATACAAAGGGCATTCTCGCATCAACTGTGGGCAAGGTCCTCGTGATTGACGAAGCGTATGGCTTGTATGGCGGTGGCGGCTCAAGCGGGGGTGTCTCCGATCCTTACAAGACCGCAGTCATCGATACGATTGTTGCCGAGGTCCAAAGTGTCCCAGGAGAGGACCGCTGTGTGTTGCTCCTCGGATACACAGACCAGATGGAGGAAATGTTCCAGAACGTCAATCCGGGCCTCAGCCGGCGGTTCCCTATATCTTCTGCATTCGTGTTCGAAGACTTCAGCAGACCCGAGTTGATGACGATCCTCGATCTGAAGCTCAAGCAACAGGGGTTCTCGGCCACCGATCAAGCCAAAGATGTAGCCGGTGACATGCTGGAGCGCGCGCGCAACCGCCCGAACTTTGGAAACGGGGGCGAGGTGGACAAGCTCCTGAACGAAGCCAAGGGCCGCCACCAGAAACGCGTCTCGTCTAAGCAGGCCAAACATGTTTCTACCCTCGAGGCCCTGGACTTTGACGAGGACTTCGATCGGGCGGAACGCGCCGACACCAACGTGGCCAAGCTGTTTGAGGGCACGGTCGGCTGCGAGAAGATCGTCGCCACGTTGGAAGGATTCCAGGAGAGCGTCCGATCCATGAAAGCTCTTGGTATTGACCCCAAGCAGAATATCCCATTCAACTTCCTCTTCCGCGGGCCCCCTGGAACGGGCAAGACGTCGACCGCGACGAAAATGGGCAAGGTCTTTTACGACATGGGGTTCTTGGCAAACGACAAGGTCATAGAATGCTCAGCTTCCGACCTCATCGGACAGTATGTTGGACAGACGGGCCCAAAGGTCCTGCAGGCTCTCGACAAGGCTCTCGGGCGAGTGCTGTTCATCGATGAGGCGTACCGGCTGGCCGAAGGCCCTTTCGCCAAGGAGGCCGTCGACGAGCTCGTTGATGCCGTGACCAAAGACAAGTACAAGGGCCGTCTTGTCATCATCCTGGCGGGGTACGACGACGACATCAACCGGCTGCTTTCGGTCAACCCCGGCATGTCTAGCCGCTTCCCCGAGGTCATCGACTTCCACAGCCTCAGCTCGGAGCACTGCTTCGATCTCTTATACCAGGTACTTCTGAAACAGAAGCGCGAGCTTGAGAGCAAAAAGGTATCCGCCCGCCTCGTGCTGGACTGCCTTCAGCACCCCGACGCAGACTTCAAGGACGACATAGTGAGCATATTCCGCGCGCTCTCCAAGCAACCCAGCTGGGCCAGCGCCCGCGATGTGGGAACCCTGAGCAAGTCAATCTTTCTAAAAGCCCTCGAGTCCCGTGAGGGGCAGTGCATCACGGTCACGGAGGCCGTGGTCGAGACGGAGATCGAAAAGATGCTTGACGAGCGCGCTACCCGTGGCAAACAAGCGGGCACGATGCGCGGAATGCTTGGGCTGCAGGATATGCCGATGGCGACCCCGCCCCCTCAGACCCCGCACAAAATCACGACACAGAATCAGACGGCCGTCGAGGAAGAGGAGGTGACTTACACCCCCCCTGAAAGCCCGGTCGAAGGGGTCGGGGAGGAGGAGGTGGAGGAGTGGGGAAAGCACAAGGCCATCCGGGACGTTGGCGTCAGCGACGAGGTCTGGGAGCAGTTGGAGAAGGACAAGAAGGCCGAGGAGGAGAGGGACGCCAAGTACCAGGCCATGACGGAGGCCAAACGCAGAGCGGTCGGCGCCGCGCGGGAAGCCATTCTCAGACAGTTGGTCGAGGAGGAGGAGCGGCGCAAACAAGAAGAGGAGCAGCGCAAGAAGGCCGCGATGATGGGGAGATGCCCTGTGGGGTACGATTGGATAAAACAGGCTCAGGGGTTCAGGTGCGCGGGCGGGTCGCATTTCATTTCTGACGAGCAACTGGCGAGATTCTGAGGGACATCCCGGATAGAGACTGATGTCTAACCTATGAAACGGATCGGTGTTTACTTGACTGTGTTGGAGTCTTATTGCGTACTTGTGCGACCTCAGGGGGGACGGACCGCCTCGAATACGTAGGTCAGTTCTCATGATCCCGGTCCATGTCAGGCAACTCGCGTGGTAATCACCGACTTCAGCCATAGACTCGTTGTCTCCTTTCCCTTGACGTGGATTATTCAAAGGCATCTCCTTGATCAACCGCCAACGTTATACCAGATTCACATGCCCACCTAGCTTTGGATGATTCATCATCGCCTTGTGACCAGACTTACGAGATGGCCAAGCGCTTTGGATACCGCCGCTTTCCATATTGTTTATAGTGTTGAGTATCGAGTATGATGATACTTTTATTGTGTCGCTTTTGTTGTGTTTCCCTGACTTTGTATGGTTTGATATCGTGTACCTGTGCAACCCTGTGGGGAGCCGTCTTGGATAGGTACATGAGTGTACCATGTTCTTGATTATGAGGGCGAAACGGGGGCATGGGTGAGCTGTTCTCGACTAGGGTGTCATGGCTGGCGGATCGCCGATCTTAACGTGTTGTGAAAATATCCCCGGCCCTCCCCCTCCGGCGCGGCCGACCAGCGCAGCGCATCCGCACGGCCCGGGAGATCCCCGGCTCTCTCAGCCCTGTCAGTATCTGCTCCGACTGGCCTCCCCGTGGTGGTGGGCTGCGGTGATCGCGCCAGGGTCGCTAATTGTCAGAGGGGCAGGATCAAGCGAAGGCGATGCGTCAGCCAATGCTTATCACGGGCGCCTGAGTGTCGGCAGTGGCACATGATCAGGCCGCTCGGGGACGGCATGCTGAGGCTGAGCATGGAGGCGGAGGTGACGTTGGTGAACATGGTGAGAGGGTATACTGGGTTTTTCTACATTGTTCCGGAGGATAGTTTGCTTTCATGCGGGGTAGGTTCTGTCAGGATAAGGTTTTGCGGGGAGAAAGAAGCGGTATACTTATTTGTTCTATTATTATGTGTAAGATGAAGAAAAAGCTCTCGTGTTGAGGATCGTCATCCGGAACTCAAAGTTAGCGGATGGGAAAGGGACTCTGTCGAAGCCGCGGCATCACAGGACAGGAGTTGGAGACACGGCATCTGCACCCACCTCTGAGTGATGGGGGTTTGCACCTGTACTCTTGTGATTGGCTATCATAGGACGGCGAACAGCCGGAAGAGACTCCGATGCGGATGGATCTGATAATCTGATAGTGGCAATATCCAGTTCCCACTACCAACAACACTCCGGAGCAAAAGGTGCAGCACCGATCTACATTGTAGAAGGCCGATTTCGCGGACCACCTCGCGAAGCTAACTACCTATTTTGTTTGATAACTGCTCAATGCCATTGTTCACTTGGTGGACTGAATCTAATCATTTAAGGCCATTAAAGTCGGAACAAGATTCACGCTATGTATCACAGGTAGACAGAGCGCGCAGGCACCCGCATCCAAGTCGAAAGAAAGCTGCAATGATGATTTGCTACAAATTAACAAGCTGCAAAGTATATCCTGGTCAGAAACTTAATTCCCAACCTCTGCCATATCCACCACCCTCGCCTTCGCCTACGGCGCAGCACCGCCGAGACCGCCGAGAAGACCAAGAAGAGAGCCGAGTCCTCCAGCGCCACCCGCACCGCCACCGCCGCCGAGAAGACCGAGAAGAGCACCGAGTCCTCCAGCGCCGCCAGCACCACCACCGCCGCCGAGCAAACCGAGAAGAGAGCCGAGCCCTCCAGCGCCGCCAGCACCACCAGCTGCACCTCCCGTGGGACTACCAAGTCCACCTGCGCCACCTGCACCGCCAAGAGCCCCAAGCAAGTTACCGATGCCCCCGGCTGGGGCAGCATCGGCAGCCTTCGGAGCAGTGGCGAGGGTATTCGGGGCAGGGGCAGGGGACTTGGGCGTAGCGGGAGCAGCAGCTGAAGAAGCGGCGGTACTATCGCCGGGTTTAGCTGAAAAACAGTGGTGCAATGGTTAGTACGACTTTATGGCCTGAAGATATCTCGAACGAAAGCGCGCCAATACGAAAAGGGGGGGTGAGCGAGGGGATGGCGGACGGCGAAAAGGGGGGCCGCTCTACGCACCCGCTGGTAGAGCGCCGTTGGCGACTGCGGCAGCGGCGGAACCTGAGTAGGCTTGGATTCCCTTGTCGATGGTGGCGCCAACGCTATCGATGGCCTGCTGAGCGATGCCCTGACCGATGGCGGGGACCTTGGAGATGAGAGAGCTGCCGAGGGTCTCAACGGTGGACTTCTGTTGCTGGAGGTTCTGGAGGACGACTTTGGAGACGCCGAGCTTGTCAAAGTTGGGCTTCTTGGCAATGATGTCGTCGATCAGGGTGCCGGTCGAGGTCTGGAGCTGGGTGGCGAGATTCTGGAGGCCAAGAGCCTCCTGGAGTTGCAAAGGCTGGGCGGCCCCGATGTCTGACCCAGCCTTTTTAATGGCAGTGTCGAGGTCGGTGGCGGCGGCCAGGACGGGTTGCGCGGTAGAGATGTCGTCGCCGACGCCCTGTGGGAACGCGTGTTAGTTTCCGAGACCGATCCCTGAACTGCGCATCCGACCTTCAGCCACGATGAATCGAGGCTTCAGGAGCGATGGCTGCGGCGGGCTCGCTGTCATGACCGATGGTCTGACTAAAACGTACCTTGACGGCGGTGTCGAGCTTGGTGATGGAGCCCTGGACTGAGTTGACGGCGGCCTGGATGACCGATGCCTGACGCTTCTCAGTGGGAGCCGCGAAGGCCGTGCCGATGAGAGCGAAGAGGAGAGTCTTGGTAAGCTGCATTGTGTCGTTGATTCACTGGCCAGAGTGATTCTTGGTTGGTATCGGGGGAAAAGAATGAGTATTGGGGGGAGGCAAGAGAACAAGCTTGAGACTCCAAACCCAGGGAGTATATATGTGTGAGCGTTGCGAGTGTCTGTGCCGAGTTGAGTTTTGTTCGATGATGATGATACCTTCTCACTCCCGATGCCGAGCTGGGAACCCCAAGCTTGATATACATTTTGACGTGACGGCTGTATGCTCACTTCAATAGCCGCTTGGCTGACACATGTAGAGCAATCGCGGACGCATACAGAGAGTTCGCTTCGGAAGCAAAATCTTCTTTGGGAGCTGGGGAAGGGTTCCCGTGAGGGCGCATAGCTCTGGAGCTTAAAATGCTGGACCCTGTAGGGTTGCCTCCCCGGTGTCTTGCGAGAATCTCAATCTGACGTCTCAAGTGATTCGTCAATCCTCCCTTGTCCTCGTGGCGAAGGGGAGGAGTGTGTCAAGCCGGGTCTGATAGATGTGTTTCAAGGAGTCATCGCGTTTTTGGCCTCCCCCCGGCCATGGGTCTGCAGGGAGCGGTAGTAGTTTCCATAGCACACCCCGCAATCCGGACCGGCCACTTGAGTGGTGTGTGCGCCGTGCCCAGGGCGGGTGTGACTCCGGTGATGGCGTGGCCCGCCAGTGCGGGTTGATTGTAGTTATGCGCACTTCGAGCGTCGACAGCTTCGGATGAAACAAAACCCGGTGTGAGCCGTCTCAGATGGGTCGGGTGCAGCTACCAGTTATGAGATGCACCAAGGGTCTCCCATGTCCGAACGGGAACGTTTTCCATCTATGCAGTGATTGGACGGGTGTTTGGGGAAAATACAAACAGGCTCGACTCGCTGGGGCTTCCTTGCGGACATGGGTGTGATCGACGGTAAAGGGGAGGGCCGCAGAGTTGAGGCTCATTGGAATTCTCACGAAATTACCCGGTTGAGTTGGTTTGCGCGACTGACGCTCCTTCGACCCCGCCACGAGTCAGTCAAAGTTCTCCGGGAACGACGACACATGCCATTCGTTAATGGGTTGCAGGGACTCGCCTACAAAGGATGGGCACCGAGGGGTTAGAACCCCAACTCCCAGACCCCGGCCTAAAGAGATATCTAGCGGAGAGAACCTTCTTTGAGGAACTTGGCCTTTTCACCGGACCGGGGTAGCCTCCAAACAGGTTCAAACCGGTTGTGCCCCCAGATCGCCGCATGGGTTACATAGGGGCATGACACCGGCTGGCGGCTCACGGCTCACGGCTCACGGATCTGGTCCATCATTGTACTGGATTTAAACTCAGCATTAGGGTGCGGGGCGGCGTTTCCACATCATGCTCCCGGGTTTCTTACACTCATGCTTCAGATCCTCAGGACTGATCTGGAGGGGGGTAGACGATAGCTGCGTGGCGTGTCTCAACCAATCACAAGCGTAATGTCGCTGATGTCGTTTCCTCTCCCATCGCGTCACAGCCACACTTGGCCTAAACAAACGAAAGGCATAGCGCCTGATGGGCTGCCGTCCACATTTGGCACAGAATGGCCTTTTCTTCTTTTTCGTAGAAATAAATAAAAAGAAAATGGAACTGGAACAAGAGGACATGGCCAAGAGTCCAAGGAGAGACAGCCAAACCACAGAAACAGCTGATTCTTCACGTCTTAGTCGTCTACTACCAGATATTTCGGCCCTGCAATGCGAGAGTTTGTCACTGGGGAAACGTGGCTTTTCGTTTAGTCATGAGTTGCAGAGGCAGGTCGAGACTTTTTTGTTTCGTGGTTTCGATGAGTCTCAGCATATACGTAAACACGGGATCATTTGAGAAATATATCAGACAGTGTCGCATCGGTTCCCTCTCGAGGACAAGCCACTGGATGACTGAGTCCCAGAGCTTATACACAGTACTGTACAGTAATTGATGCGAGTGCGATGGCCCTCCATATTCCTATGGGGATCAAACGGGGGAGATCGGACGAAGGCTTAAGGGAGGGAGCATGGAGCCTGGTGGCCGTCGGCGGAATGCGATTCGCCCTCCAAGTGACTGGGTCTTGTGAGATTTGACCACTTGTTTGACAGTCTAGGCAGATTCACCCGGATCGTTCCTTTCTGCTCGGACGGTCCTTGGCAAGGGGCTTTCCCACAAAAAGAGATGCAGCGAGTCCCATGTCAAAAGACCGAAGGATTCGGCCCCACTTTCGGCGCGGAGATAGTCGGTATAGGGCTCCCGACTCGGCCATCCGCGCCCCACATGGCTCCGGCGAATTTGCTCGGTGAATCTGCTCGGTGGTGGTTCAGAGTCGGGCGCAAGCCTCGGGGTCAACTCAGTCATCGGATTGGATTTGACGATAATAAAACACCAAAACACTTGTATATATGGTAAGGATATTCGAGCCTTCTATTGAACTTTGCTAATGTGTATACCATCTGGTGTGAATCGTCTCAGCATACAACATACTGAAACGAGAACCAACTCATCATATTCGTCAACGCAACAGCAAACATGAGCAACCACTCGGATTCACTCTCTAGTTTGGCATCACAGCTTTCTAAGTTGGCCGATTCGTCTTGTAGCAATGATGAGAAGAGCAAAGACGCTGTTGCCATTGCGCAGAATATCCTCAAAGCAGCCGGAGGATCGATGCCGGGCTGGATGGATAGAATGGCCAACGCCATGCAGCTGATCGCTCTGAACCTTTTTTAGACTGGGGAGTCTTCGATATTATTCCCCTGGATGACTCGGTGTCGTATGATCACCTAGCAAGTCACTTAGTAGCGGACGTCTCTCTTACTAGTGAGTCATATTGAAAGATTACTACCCACAGCCTCGGCCCATTGCTTATGCTAATGATCCTCAAGAACTTCTTTTTTGGGTTATAATATCCGGCGGTATCTTGACCCAGGTTGGCGAAGATAGGGTTGCGCATACCGAGAAGTCCAAATTGTATCTTTCTGGCACACCCAATGAGCTATTCCTCCGTACAATGCAAGTCTTGTATAACGGCTTCGCCACTTATAGCTTCTACCTGCTAAAAATTAGGAAGGTTCGAAGAGCACATCTTGACTGCCCTGAAACTCCCTGATTATTTCGCCCTGTATGGTCGCCACGAACCTGCAACTCGAACCCATGCGTCTTACGCTTCCGCCCGTGAAAACCCGGAGAGTGAGGTATGGGAGCTCTACGGAGAAAACCCAGAACAGATTAAAGGGGCCATGCAGCGAATGGAGATGCCGCAGCAATTTATTCCGCTAGAGGGGATCTACGACTTTAGTTGGGTGTGAGCAAAGGTCTCAGAAGACCACAACCGACCAAGCTTAATTTACCAATATAAAATAATGAAAACGATGTGATTTGATGCAAAATGGGCAGAGATACGTTTCAGTAAGCAATTTTCATTGCCCTCTCATTGTATCCTAGGAAGCGGCGTCCTTTCCTTTAGGGTTCAAGACCCTCGGCCTGTGCGGAACCGCCCATGGAGCTTTGCCAAACGCATGAACATTTCCATAGTCGTCAAAAGTTTGCTTATCTCTATATTACCCTGGAACCCACTATGAAACCACGCCAAACGATTTGACAAAGGCTGCTCGCATTGACACATGTCAAGATTGCTACCCACAGAAGGGATGATTGTAACGGTCGGATCAGCGGCCAAACTGCCATTAATGAAACATAGGGTGATCCTATCAGAGGAATGGTCAGCAAGATACTGGATATAGTCCTTTGAAGGTCAACGCAATCAACGTGTAATATGTAGGTTGGTGGCCAACTAACTTCATGCATGGCCCAGAGTTCTTCGAAATAGAACGCACGATCGAGGTCAGGTCGCACGTCTCCGTTGCCTAGCCAGGCCATTGGATGGTCGTATTCGTCAAGTCGCTCGTAGTCAAAGTCTTCCCAGCGAGGATGGCGCAAAGCGGTGTAGGCGTGCAGGCAGGATCCAGGCCATAGGGTCCTAATTTTCGCTTTACCCGTGGCCCCGTTCTTGTACCAGGACCTACAGTTTCCTATCAAAGTATCAAATTAGATCAAAGATATTCTGGGAAACCCGAACGGGCCAGCGGGCACCGGTCATGGAGCGTGTTGGGCATAGAATGTAGGTTGCTCACCGTTGAACACCGTCCTATCAAAGTAGTTATCGGTGTATTTGAGAAACGAATCCACTGCACTCCATTTGACAACGATGCTTTTGTAGCCTTCTCGGATGCACTTTTGAATGCATTTGCTTGCGTAGGCGATTTCCTGCTCCATCAAGACAAGAAGCGAACCTGTACCGACGCCCGACTGAGCGCCCAAAACCGTGAAGCTGTCGTAAAAGTCAGGACGCAAGACTCGCATACGGGACTTATGAACGATTGGCATCTTACAAGTTGGGCACTTGGGGAATGCAGACGCCCAAGTATTGCTTTGGTTCCTTGGCCCAGAGATCCTGAAGGTTCACGCCGTCCAAGCCATGAATGGGGAAAGCGGGTACGGCGGATACGTCCTATACTTATAAGCAACGATTCTATCACAGGATTCTTCTGAAAGATTGAGCAAAACCTACAAACCCGGTTGCACAGATAATGGCGTCGAACTCGTGCTCGCAACCATCAGCGGTCATCAGCCCTTTCGCGGTGAAGCATGCCACTTCCTGAGAACAGAAATCAACGTTGTCCGCCAAAAGGCATTCCAGGTAGCCTAAAAGCCATGTCAGTCTCTATGAGGCTATTTTTGGAGAGATGTATAGCAAGGAGACGCCGTAGTAACCCCAGCAGTCAGTCTCACCTGGCCCTGGCGTGAGACGCTTGCAAGCCACCGGGAAATCTGGTATCAGGCTCTTGGCAATCTCGGGTTTTGCTTCCAGCTTCTCTTTCATTGCCTGCTCAATGATTTTTCTAGCCTCAAGTTGTATCGGCTGGTTCTGCTCGGTGAGCTTGTGGGCAGAGTTAAGCCCCCTTTCAAGTTCGTGGCGAACCTGCTGGTAGTAATTCTCATCCATGAAGCGCTTCTTTTCTTCTGCCGTAAATTTATCTAGACGCATTATTAACAAGGTCCAAACCGAAATGGAATTGGAACGCTTACGGTTGCTGGCACCTTTAGGGCAATCAAACTTTTCCATGAAATCAGCTGCAAACGTCGACGATACCCAAGCTAGAAAGCCCACTTGGTTAGTCCGGACAGCATGCGATAGAATTTTTACTGGACAATTACATACTTTTACTCCTCATAAAGTTGGTGACATGTTTGGCTTTCTTCTGCATTTCTGGCATGATCTGAATACCGCTGGATCCCTACAGGTGCCGATGTGAGTGAATGCCATGTCAAAGCCACAGTTGCTACTTACTGCCCCAATAACAGCAACTCTCTTGTCTTTCCACGAAAAGCCGTCTTGCTTCTCTTCTTTCGCAGCATCCCAATTTGCGGAGTGATGAAGAAGGCCTTGGTATGTTTCACGCCCTATAGATAGTGTCAGTACGAATGTGCCACCTCGCTTTCTCTACATTTTATCGTAAATAGGCAGCATACCCGTGATGGAAGGCCACTTAGGCTTGGATAATAATCCAGTGGCGTACAGGATAAAGTCAGCCTCGTCAACTGTCTCTTTTCCCGTTTCAAGGTTTTGTACAGCGACGGCCCATTTGCCCTTTTCTTGAGACCAAGTTGCCCCGACAACTCGGTGTCTGAGCTTGATGAATCTTTGGAGGTTATAGTGGCCAACTACCTTTTTTAGATAGTTATGGATCTCCTCACCAGGGGCATAGAACTTTGACCACTGCGTATTTTGGCAGAAGGAAAACTGGTAACTGTGTGATGGGATGTCACAGGCGACTCCGGCGTACCGGTTGTGGTGCCATACTCCGCCGATATCGTCGGCAGCCTCGTAGACCTGGAAATCGATATCGCGAATATGTTCTCTTATGTGGATAGCAGAACCGATTCCGCTGAAACCGGCGCCAACACAAATGACTCGAACCTTGCGGTCTGCATCGATTGGCCGTTCAAGGAGTGGTGCTGCCCATGAGTAGTCAACCTGAGCCCTGGGTTCACAAGCAGTCTAAGCAAGCTTTCGGGAAAAAGTGGAAATCTTTCAGAATTTGACGTACTGTAGAGTTTGCTCTGTTTTTTCGTTAACAGAATTGAGAGAGTCACCGTTCACAAACCCCATTGGAGCGTTTTGAGTCCGATTGTGCTTGATGAAGGTGAGATGAACGAGCAGAGTTTGAACCCTTCTCAAAACAAATTCGGGAAAAGCGAAAGCAATTCAACGGAGATGGATAGAAACAAGTCTGGAATCAATTAATCTTAGGTCTTTGATGTTTTGGAAACCGGTTAAGGGGGCAATTGGTCCGAACTCGGGTGTTTCAATGCCCAACTTAGCTGTCAATGAATTCGTTACTGGAGGAGAACCAGAAGGTAAGTGGAACACGGAAGCTCATTCTGGATGAATATCATTTAAATGAAAACCCCTCTTGGCTTGCCGATTCCTTGCCGAACCTGAGCCGACAATCAGTGATTCTGTCGGATTGACCAGTTGTTTGTTGACTCTGTTGGTTTCAAGTGAGGGGTAATGTGGCACAGACACCCTGTCGGGCAATCATTGGGCATGATACTTATACTGTGTTTGTTCAACTGTGTTAGAGTGCAATTGTGTACCCATACGACTTTACGAGGGGCCGCCTTAGATAAGGACTTCAGCATGAGCTTAGCGAGGGTGGAAACATAGAGACGATGCTATCTTACTAAGAGTCGGCGTACTACAATGCCACTTAGTCAGGGATGCTTCATCGAAGAGCTGTCAAGAAAGATACACAGTATTCGGTATTTTTGTGCTTTCCTAACACGACCTTTGGCAACCACACATGAGTGGTACATCAGCCTTGGATAGAACTCTGTAGCAAACACTACAGGATGATAAGCGTTGGGCGCACTATTTGCATGTATGTCGAAGATCTCAAAGAAAAGAAAAGAAGGAAAAGATTCATCAATATCAGACAGCGGTTTGTCTTCGATTGTGAAGAATTCGTTGCTTGGCAGCTCAGTGCTGCGCGCTGTGCTGGTAAAGAGGTGAAGTTAAGCACGTCAGACCTGGTTCGTCATTGGAACTCCTTGCACACTTATCGAACCAATGGGGGCACAATCACAAGGCCTTGGGAAGAGACTTTGACGGCTCTACTGGCACCGCCGCTAAGGTTTTGGCCAACCACGAACATCATCTCTTAGCATTGTCTGGCAATTCTTCCCATAGTCGACTTGTAAGTGGACCTGTCAACTCCTCAATGCTTCTCTTTCATGCTGTCAGGATGAGTACGTCAGATCATTAATGGCCATATCTATCGCTATCGACTCGGCGACATTGTGAGTCGCTGGGACTGGAGCGATATCGCGGGGTTCGTGGCTCATATTAATGACGCGTGACGTTCCACCAAGATGGTGAGAACATGAAGCTGAGTTCCCCCGGCAGCTTCTACGAAGAAGCCCCTGAGCCCCAGATTTTCACAACACAGAGACCGCTCGAAGATGCGTGATTTCGCGATCGAGATTTGGAGCTTGATCTACGGTCACCGCTTGTTATGAGGCTGACTGGTACAATTAGTAATATCATGAAGCTTACCAAGCACGCCACTGTTGGGAAGTCTGACAAATCCACGAAATACTATCGCTTCAGACGACTCTGGAACTCAGCTATAAAGGAAGCTGTCGCACCGGGCATAATGCTGCTCCAATTCGGCACTCAATCCCCAAACTTTATTGCCTTCTTCCCGCTGTCCATTAATTATTGTCTTGGCGGATCCTGCTCAAAAAGCAAACATGTCTTCTGTCACTGTTTACGACGCTGTCATCCCCCTCTTCATTAAGGGGCTCAAAACCTTTGACCACATCCTGACCAAGGCTGAGGAATATGCGAAAACCAACGATGTCGATGCCAATACGTACCCCGAGGCCCGTCTTGTCGAGGATCAATTACCACTCACCTTCCAGGTGCAAAACGCCACGAAGACCGTCAAGACGAACGTTGGCCGCCTGACGGGCGTTGAGTTGGAGCCATTTGAGAACAAGGAGAAGACAATCGAGGACCTGCACAAGCGCATTGAAGAGGCACTGGATTTGCTTAGCAAGGTCGATGCTGCTACTGTCAACGCCAAAGCCGATGACCAGATTGACCTGTGAGTTCTATCCATGTTTGTGGACTGACAGCGGCATTTAACGAAGTTGAGTAGGCCGATTTTTGGCGGAAAGCCACTGAAGGTTTCGGCGAAAGAGGCGGCGTTGAGCCACGGTGTTCCAAACTTCTTTTTCCATTTGAACGCGGGGTATGCTATCTTGAGATCTAAGGGTGTGCCTATTGGTAAGGCAGACTACCTTGGCAGCTTTTTGGATCAATAAATTATGAGTAAAATGGGAAAAGTCGAACTTTTGACGACTCTCCATTTATGACCCAACCATGACTTACAAAATCACCGTCTCCGCAACGTGCAGTCGATATACAATACCTGCCAGAAATGGGCTGTGAGTCCTAGAGAAAAAGCTTAGTGAACAGGCTTCCTCTTCTGTCCAGTCTACTCACAGGTTCAGGGTGGGTTCAAAGCTCAGAGTATAAACCTAGAAAAATACTTCCAATACATGGATCACTTACTGTAATCGATCAGACTCAAACCCGTATCGATGAACCCAAAACATGTAGAGACTGGCGTCAAAAATTCGACCGACCTGGGACTCGAACCCAGAATCTTCGGATTACGCTGGTGATAGGAGTCCGACGCCTTACCATTTGGCCAGCCAGCCATAAATCATTTCAGTTCACATGAATAACGTGAAGATCCAACAGTAATTACGAAATCTAATGGAAATGGCGCATGAGTGGAGAGTTGTGCGTCGTTTAGCACAGATGCTGGGGCATGTCCTGCTGGAGTGGGTCTGACTTATTCAATGGACCAGAGGTCCGTTAGGAACGGCGGGTACAGGTTTCATGAGGACGTAGTAGCGGAATACCCTATATCTATGAAACTTACTTGAACTAATTGAACAACTTGTCACGAGATAGGATCGCCTAGGGGCAGTTCATAGGGTTGCAAGTGACTTGTTTCTGTGTGAGGAAATCTCCTAATAAGTAAGACTAGATACAGGTTTCGTATAGGGCGGCTGGCATTCCCACGCAACGTCGCGTAGGGAAAATGATGTCGTGCGGTATTGCGTCAGCTGAGGCTGCATTTCAACTTCGATGCAAGTATCAGATGAACTATAGAGAACGACACACCATTCCACGCGTATTACCAACAATTCATACTTGTCTATTAAGCTGGGAACTGTCAAATGACTATTTAAAAGTTGATAAAGTATCTCCGCTTAGGTCTTGGAATTCGACTCTTAGGGCTTTCGCATTTTATCTTTGCCTGTTCCTCCCGTAGGCTTCTTCGCGGGAATGATGAACGCCCAGTCGCCCACGACCGATTCTTATATTACTTGTGTTTTGCTTCCTATCAGCCATGCTTGGACCTATTTGAAAATGCGGACCATTGAATATTCTGGTAATATTTAATCGCTACAGTCCAACAAAACTGGTATCTCTAGATGAGGTGTTGTGAAGCGACCCGGCGACCGGTCCTTTGTGATGTAACAGGGGTGTTGCAGACCCCAGTGGAACATGCAAGGCCATGGGATTGAACTCCTATGCTGTAAATTTTCGCATTCTTGTTTTAAAATGACAGAAGGGGGAAAGAAAACTAAACATCTGTGTAGTGCGAATCTTTCAGGAAGAATAACGAAGGGTCTGTGGCGGACGATCCTGATGCAAAGGGAGGCTGCGATAATGGCCCATTGGAACTCTTTCCGGTCGGACGCGACGTCAAGGGGTTCGTTGCGGATTCTAAAGACTCAATCATATTGGGTCCCAGCCCCTTGGGTGCTATTTTCACAGCATTTATTGGATGTGCAGAATGATTATCATGGTTCGGCGGAATTGGGTATGGCGTTGGCGCGGGTCAGGGAAAGGCGGCAACGACAGAAATGAGAGAGAACACATAATTATACGAGATCTCAAGAGAAAACAACATTTTCATTTCGAACGCCAAAAAGGAAGTCAAGTATTGACTTGTGTTGACTGAAGGCTCAAGCAAGCATTAAGTTGTCCCGGCAGAACGTCATTCAACTTATCTCGGGCCCGGCCACTTCTAATGAGGCTAGACAATCCGAGTCCCCGCAAGATAGCCCGTTTACGCCTTCAACCAACCAATGGGAGGTAGGTGAGTCAAGCTGAGAAGAATAAGGCTAGTCCTATTGAGTGCCCGAGGTCTCCGACCATAATCTCGTCCTGGCAATTCTGACATCAGTCACTCTTTGTTGTCTCAGGAAACGAAAATCCGACGTTGACCTTACAATGTTCAAAATCATCAGTACGCCCCCCAAAGGCCATTTAACTCTACCATAGTTGACATCTAAACTCAGCCAGCTTAGTCTTCCCATGACCTTTCCGCAGTCAACAAGTCCCCAGGCTCAGCACAAGCATGCCTGCTCCCTTTGCGCACGGCGGAAGGTAAAATGCAATAAGGCAGACCCCTGTTCAAATTGCGACAAGGCGAAGGCTCGTTGTCTCTACGAAGTTCCTGTACAACCTCGGCCTCGTAAGAGAGCTGCCGACGAAGACTTGCTTAGCCGATTGGCTGCATACGAGGAGCTGATGCGGAAGAACAACATTGACTACAGTCAGTATGCCCACACTTGGGTTACTTCAGGACCAAACGGTCAAGTAAAGGAGCATGAATCTATAAGTCCAGTCTCGACATTGCCTACGATCAGCCATGATAGACCATGGACCCGGGCTCAAGAAGAGATACCTACGGAGACGGAACGGTCAGTTCATTCATGCTCGATGGGCAGAGGCCCCCATTTTCGACGACTAACTTAGAAATAAAGATGCTTGTGGGCAAGTCTTCCACCAGAGGTCTGTTTGTGCTCGACCTCCCATGTTTGCTCTTCTGATCTGACAATCCTGCGGTGGAAAGCTCAAATACCCCCCTTACCAAAGTTTGCCTCGAAACGATGACGGAACCAAACATCCTGGGCTGTCAATGAGCGACTTACTATCAAGCAGCCAGCCTGGGATATCACAAGTGCACCCGGAACCAAGGCAGATCTACCGCTTCTGGCAGGTATTTGTTGAGTCGGTCAACCCCCTCTTGAAGATAATTCATGTGCCAACGTTACAACAACGAGTCCTGGACGCCAGTTGGAACCCTTCCAGCGCACCAAAGCCCCTTGCAGCCATGCTGTTCGTTATATACGCTCTAGCAGTTGCGTCCACCTCGGGGGACGAATGCTTGTTGGCCTTTGGCGAAACTAAAGTTGCCCTGTCAAACCGTTACCGACATGCTACCTTTCGTGCCCTAGTCGAGGCAGACTTCCTGACGACTCGAGACTTCGAAGTTCTACAGGCGCTCGTCCTCTTCCTCTTCTCAGGCCCAGACTCGGAGCTGACGTCCACACTGACTGGCGCCGCCATTCGGATCGGCCAGAAGATTGGCCTGCATCTATACAAAGCAGACCCTAATATCTCGGCATTCGACGGAGAAATGCGCGTCCGCCTTTGGTGGCAGTTATACGGTATAGACGCCCGAACCCGTGCCGCTGGCCGAAGCTCCCAGCCGTCCGCAGGCGAGTTCGGTAACGTCTGCCTCCCGCTCAACGTCAACGACGCCGACCTGCACCCCGAAATGACCGAGCTGCCCACCGAGCACACAGGGCCGACCGAAATGTCTTACGTCTTGGTAAAGTTTGAGGTGACCAATTGGGTTCGCTCATCCGCCAGGGCATCCGTAATCCTCGACTTATGTTCTCAAGGGACAGCGAGGGGGACGAAGCAGACGGGGCTGGAAGACAAAGCCATCGACGAGTTGGAGGCCAGGTACCACGAAAAGTTCCTCCGCCATCTCGACCACAACGTCCCTCTCTACGCCTTAACGTACGCGATGGCCAAGATTGCAATTGCTCGCATGCGATGCAAGGTTCATAACCCGCGGGGGCAAGCTTGGGGCGTCGGAGAGGCTCTCATGTCACGAGAAAAAGGCGACGTGCTTTTCGAATCGATCCTAACATGGTTGGAGATGCTGGACCTGGCCTTGCGTACCAAGTTCTCGTCGCACCTCATCACCCACATGACAACCAGATACACCTTGGACGCCTATATCTACATGATCAGCGACCTTCGACGGCGGTGCTCGGGGGAGCGGGTGGCTTTGGCCTGGAGGCTGGTCGAAAAGCTGTATGAAGAGCACCCTGAGATGATTCGGGATATTAGTCAAAACACGTTCTTTGCAGCACTGGGCGATTTAACCCTGGAGGCTTGGGAGGCTCGTAGGAAGGAGCTGGTCGACTCTCAAGAGACTCGCGCCGCTGGTCTCTCGCCCGCGTTTATCCATTCCATATGGGACCAGAGACGCAACCAAGCTGTGCAGGTATCCCAGCTATCAGCCCCAGAGTTGCAGAATCTTGACGCGGTCGGTTTGATGGAAAACGGAGACCTGGACTGGGAATATTGGAATGACTTTCTGCGGCTATAAGTAGCTAATAGCTCCACAATCCAGGGGAATCTCACGGCAAGTATCAGCTGTGGCGTCAAATTTGCCAGACACTCAATTTTAAACCCTAGAGCTTCCTTCAAGCAGCGAGTTTATGACATAATGGATCAGGGACTTCTTGTTAGCTTGCATCGCTATCGTTATAAGATGCATGTCCTCACAAGACAGATAATGCCCTACAACCAAGACCTGACTGAATCACTGCTGTCGCAAGCCTCATCAGTCAAACAACAACAGCAATAACAATAGCCTGTATGGTGACATTGCTTACTCCAGGCAGCCCAGACCGATGTACATATACAAGGTAGTTCCTCTTGATGCCCCATAGGTACGCAAAGATACTCTAAGACAGTCCGAAAAACACAGTATAAGTATCATGCCCGATGCTCAACACAATACGAGGTAGCCCGGACTCCTCGCTAAGAATGAACCTGTCAGAACCACGTAACGTAATGAGAAGACCCATTCAAAGCCATGTATCACCGAGAGCGTCTCCATCAAGATGCATTATATTGGACCGCCGCCCCTGGTGAGTCAGCAACCTCCCTGTCACCCCCGCAAACACGATGATCACCTCCAGCCCCTCTTCCTAGGACTAGTCCCTCCCCCCTCAAGTCTCCTCTACCCGACGGACTGCGGGGGATAAGACGTTTGATCTTTGTCTAGCTGCAGATTTGTTGTAACATCGGCCGTGGCTTCGGGAAGGATCCTATCTACACGTTTCGCTAGGCCTCCCTTACTTAACGTTTAACTCATGACCTCTTTACTTTCCTGTTTCTCACAAGATCTACATTGTTAGACCAAGGTGCGCGTCTTGGTACGTCCATCTCGCCCAGAACTCGAACCAGGTTGAGACAGGTCCCCTCCCCAAAATGTTCTTGAACACCTCTAACCCCGGGGTCATACTCTCAGCTATTCGGCTCTTTAGAGCCCACAGAAAGGGCGGATTGTCGTGCTTTTGAACGCAGCAAACAGTCGAAAAGCAGGTCCGAACCCCACCTAGTCCTTGAAACACTGTCAGAACCCTTGAGCTGCATGCAGCTTGATTAGCAAATCGCCATAAAATGATATATGATATCTGAAGCGCAAATTGAGGCCCGTAATTAACGGCGTCGTTCTCGCATCACAAACTTTAGACATGTCTCGACAAAGCTGCGGTCTGCGATGCGCCATGCCGCCTAAGCAGCCGTCGGCGAAATCTTAGCTTTCGCCACCATCTCCATATCCAATGTAATACCCAAGACCAACTCGACCCTATAGCATTCATTTTCCCCCGGCGAAGTCGTCCGTACTTGCGACGTTCCCCTCACTATCCTTGCAGCCATGTGGAACATACCCTGTAGGCCCAGACTGTTAACCTTGACACCGCATGAGTAACTTGGCAGCGTATGGCGGAAAGGGGACTGACTCCGCGGCACCTGTCATACTCACCATTGTATCGAGGGTAGGATTCGTTCCCTCTCGCCTGCGTGTCTGACTGACCTACGAGATATAAAGCATGAACCCTTGCGGCATACGGAAGTGTGCCTTGTTTCCTCGTTCCGACCTCTTTGCATTCTTCAGCCACGCGAGATCCTTGGCCTGTTACCTATATGATCAACTTATCCTGGTGTGACGTGTAGGTGAGATAGCAGCCATGGGTATCTACAGCAAGTTAGCAGATGACATCCAAGAGGTGGACGTGATCATCGCAGGAGGTACATAGCTCTGGCTTCTACACCCATATTCTCCGGGCAATACTGACCCTCAGCTCTCAGGCGGCACAGCAGCATGTACACTCGCTGGACGTCTTGCAGCCTCAGACCCGGATCTTTCGGTCCTCGTCATCGAGGGTGGCACAAACAACCGGGACGTGCCCAGCGTCGTCCACCCGGCCTTCTTCCTTGACCATCTCGCCCCGGACAGCAAGACCGCCATCTTCTATCAGGGCAGAAAGTCGGACCAGCTGGCAGGGCGCAGTCCCATAGTCCCAGCAGGAGGGATCCTTGGTGGCGGTTCCTCGATAAACTTTATGCTGTAAGCGCCTGAGTTTCCCCTCTCCCGGAATTCTCGTCTCCTCCGGTTCAACCTGGTACCCATGGTCACCTGGGTTCCTTCTCCGCACACACACACGCACACACGCGAGCGCGCACAACAAATGTTATTGCATCCATCCCTGACTTGAGCACGGGAAGTGAAAATAACTGGGATAGCTCCCCTCTGAGACTCGTCATCTGACGGATCCTACGACTATCCCATCCCATCCCATCCCACCCTCTTCTCCTCGAACACCAAGCTAACGGGTCACGCCTCGCAATGCAGTTACACGCGCGCCCAGAAATCAGACTATGATTCATGGCGGACCCCGGGCTGGTCGGCTGCAGACCTCCGGCCGTACCTCAATCGCTTTGAAACGTACCACGGCAACGGCGACCCTTCGCACCATGGCTACTCCGGCCCGGTGCATATCTCGTCCGGCGGGTTCCGCCTGAACGACGCCGAGGACGACATCCTCGCCGCGGCGAAGCAGACCGGGTACCCCGAGATCCGGGACCTGCAGAACCTCGACGCGAACAACGGGTATGAGAGGTGGATGAGGTACGTCTCGCCGGAAGGCCAGCGGCAGGACGCCGCGCACACGTTCCTACACCCGCTTCTGGAGGACGGCAAGCACCCCAACCTACACGTCATGGTGGAGTCCAAGGTCATCCGCGTCCTGTTCGACGACAACAAGCGCGCCATCGGCGTGGAGTACACGCCGAACCCGCAGTACCAGGCCGTCCTGAACACGACCAAGCATCCCGTCCGGAGCGTGCGCGCGAGGAAGATGGTCGTGGTCTCTTGCGGCGCCTGCGGAACCCCTGGCGTCCTGGAACGGTCCGGCCTGGGCGACAAAAAGGTCCTGGACAGGGCGGGCGTGCCCGTCGTCGTGGATCTGCCGGGCGTGGGGCACGACTACCAGGATCACCACCTGCTCTTGTACCCGTACAAGACTGCGTTGAAGCCGGACGAGACGTTGGATGACATCTTTAGCAGGCGCATCAGCCACGAGGAGGCGATCGAAAAGAAGCACAAGCTGCTCGGCTGGAACGGCGTCGACATCGTCAGCAAGATTCGTCCTTCGGAAGAGGAGGTCAAGGCCCTCGGTCCCGAGTTCGAGAAGGCCTGGGAGAAGGATTTCAAGAATGACCCCAACCGGCCGCTCATGCTCAGCGGCTTTTTACATGGGTGGGTATCTCCCCCCTTTTCCCCGTTTCTCATGAAAGACAACGGAGCAGAATGGATAGATCAAAAGACTTAACACCGGCCTAGATATCTCGGAGACCACTCTGCCATCCCTCAAGGCCAATACACAACCGCCGCAAACTACACCGCGTACCCGTATTCCCGCGGCAGCATCCACATCACCGGCCCCTCCCTCGCAGACCCCGTCGATTTCGACACCGGCTTCTTCAACGACCCGGACGATATCGACCTCAAGAAGCAGCTATTGGCCTACAAGCACTCGCGAGAGGTCGCCCGCCGCACGGCCCTCTACCGCGGCGAGGTCGCCGGCGGCCACCCCTCCTTCCCCGCAGGCTCCAAGGCCGCGCTCGTCGACTCTGTCTCGGCGGACGCGCACAAGACCGTGACGCCGCTCGAGTACTCCGAGGCGGACGACCGGGCGATCGAGCAGTTCCTGCGGGAGAACGTTAACACTACGTGGCACTCGCTTGGGACGGCCAAGATGGCGCCCCGGGACGACCTGGGCGTCGTCGACTCATCGCTGAGCGTGTACGGAGTCGAGGGGCTCAAGGTCGTGGACCTGAGCATCGTTCCGGAGAACGTGGGCGCGAACACGAACAACACAGCGTTTGTGGTTGGCGAGAAGGCGGCGGATATCATTGCGAAGGAGCTGGGTCTCTTGGTCTCGCCAAGATTGTAGGTTTTCCTCTAAGAAAAGATATACCGTTTGGCGAGAGCCAAGAACGGTGGACTATTTATCTACTTCATCATTCATGAGCTATCAATGTCTGCGTGATATATTGTTCTGAATCACATACCCCTTGTGCGAAACGAAATCACTTGCAAAGCGTTGCGATGGGTTGCGAAGCTTGTATTTGTATACCTGAAACCATTTTCCGAAGCAAGGCTATAATGGTGTTCCCTCGCCCACAAAACCAGACGGTGGGAGATTGACCTCAGGAAGGCTAAGATCTCATAAACCGCGTATGAAAAACGCGGTATAAGCGTCGACTACCAACCGCTGCTGAACAGGTCCAAGCATCCCTGTGATTCTGACTCTTCTTGCGAGCTCGGCAGTGAATATTGCAAGGTAGAGAACTAAGGTAGATTTGGTATCGACAGGGGTATTGGGTGTTTGTATTAGATTTTGTTTAGATATATATACCTTATCCCCTGGAAAAGCTTAGACGGACTCAAGCTGAGTCTCGCCAAGGCTCTTCTTCTCGGACCGGATAGCGTTGTCCTCCAGATCTTCTGTTAAGCCGACATCCCTTCTAGCCTGCTCCAGTAAGATCGTGTCCTCGGCGGCGGTGTTGCTGCCAAAGACACGATCCATCTCCTCGAGGGTAACGCCCTTGGTCTCCGGAAGGCAAAACCAAACCCAGACTACGCTGGCGGCAAGAAAGACGGCGAAGAAGATGTATGTGCCCCATTTCCAGTTCTTGAGCATAGAAGGGACGTAGAAGGCGACGGCGAAGTTGTTGATCTGATGGCTATGTTAGTGTTACGACCCAACAAGTTACAGGCGATGTTGCCCCACTTGACAGAACGACCAGCGGGCGGCAACAGCATTTGTACAGAACCAACAGATGGGCGTGGACAGGATGACTCCCATGGACACAGAAGAACTATGGTACAAGTCACATGACAATAAGATTAGATAAGATCTGTACGTTAGAAATACAGAAGCTATATACTTGGTATACAGGCGCTGTACAAAAAACATATAAGTGCTATAGTTTAAATATATAGCCCTATATATTAACAAAAAGAATAAACTTATATATAGGATAAACTTAGACACACTTAAGAATAGACTCTTATAGCTCTTTAGTAATTAACTTCTTATAATATAATTTATTTAAATAACTTTTAGTATTTAACCTTAGAGATTTAATTAATAAGAGCTATATAAGCTACCTTTATAACTATTAACTACTTAACTAATTACTAAGTAATTAATAGACTAGTAAGCCTATACTACTGTTAACTAAGTATTAACCTTAGCTTATTTTTAGTAGAAACCTTACTATTAGATTACTAACTATAACACTTTAATTACTCCTATTAAGTAAGTTAACCTTAATACTTACTTAATAGTAAAGATACTATATTAACCTTTAAGAATACACCTTTAATAAGTACCTTTAAGTCCTAGTGCTCCCTAAACAAAGAACTTAAGGATATTATAGAGATTAATAATAGATTTATTCTACCTAATCTAAGATTTAATAAAGATAGTAAGGCTATTTTTACTATAGATTAGTATTTTATAATTTAAGGAATAATTAAAAGAAATATAAGATATAACTACTAACTTATTAAAGTTATTAATAGTAATATAGCTAAACTAGAGCGCTTAGAGAAAGCTATCCTTAAAGAACCTCTAACTAAGATATAAGAACTTAAGGAGACTATTAAAACTCTCTAAGGTACTACTAATATTATATAGACCTTAGTTAATAGTTAAGATAAGCTTAGACTTAATAATCTATAGCTATTTAATAGAACTCTAGGACACTTAAAAGGATTCTTTACTTAAGTCTAAGTATACTATTAGTTCTATAACATTAGCTTTAGAGATAAACCTAAGAAAGTTATTTATACTGCCTTATTTCTTAAGGGAAAAGTATTAGCCTAGTTTAAACCTTACTTAATAGACTATATAATAAATAACTAAGTAGGCTTAAAGATAAAAACCTAAGAGATCTTTTATAAATACTCTAGGTTTAAGAAAGCACTACTATTACTTTTTTAAGACCTTAATAAGAAGTAATAAGCTAAGTAAGAACTATTTAACCTAAGATAAACTAAGGCTACTTTATACTATATAGCTAAATTCTAAAGACTTACTACTAAACTTAATATTACTTAAGAATCCTTAATTTTTATATTTTACTAAAGACTTAAGGAAGATATAAAAAATAAACTAGTTAAAATTATAAACCTCCCTAAAGATTTCTTATTATATATTAAGTTTACTATTAAGATTAATACCTAACTATATAAGTAACAACAGGAGAAAAAAAAACTAGATAACCTAATGTAAACATAGGTAAAAAGTATACCTAAGGACTAAAGCTACTAGGCTAGTAAAATAAAATATTTAATAGATAATAAAGACTTTATAATAACTAGATAAGCACTTCTTAGGGACACTATACTAGACCTATAGATATAAGTGTAGTATATAAATAAGACTAATAACTACTATATAACCCTAAGACTATTAAATACTTTAACTATAAAAAGACTAGTTACTATATATAAGACTATAAGTAACCTAAATAACTTTAATATAAAACCTTACTAGAGTACACTAAGAAAGCTAATATAGCTACTAAGGAAGTCTTCTATTAATAATTAACCTAGACTACCTATTATAATAATACTTACACTATACACTAGGACAGTAAAGAATAGGTAGAATAGTATCTTAAGGAGCTAAAGACAAAAAATATATCTATAAGAAGGAAAAAACCTAATAAGGAAAAAAAAAACTAGAATATTATTATAGCCTTTATAATAACATAAGATATAACCCTTAAGAAGCTATAAAATACACTTAGTACACTTAAACTTAATATAATTAAAGAATGCCTTAAGAAAAGGATAGTAGTAATAGGGAACACTTATTAATAAGTAGTACTTAATAAAACCTTACTAAAAAGGAACCTTAAGATTATTACTATAGCTAAGAAGTAGTAACACTAAATAGTAATAGAAGCCTAAGAAACTATTAATAAAAGAACTAGGAATAGAACTATTATAGTAAGTATAAAGTATAGTAGTAAAAATATTTACTAAGTGCTAAGTAAGTATAATAAATAAGTACTATAAAGCTTAAATAGTACTTTATAAAATCTATAATAATAAAAGAAAAATGTTTAATAATAAGTTAAAGTAAAGAGAAGGAACTAAGGAAACTTCCTTTTACTAACTAGAGTATACCTCTAACTCTATATAACCTTTTAGAGTTATAAAGTAGTAGAACCTTAACCCCTAGATCTAAAAGAAGTGCTAGAACTTACTAAGACTATATAAACAAAAGGATTCTAGGATATCCCTACTAAAACTATTACTGTTGCTAAAAAGCAACAAGGCATCTAAGAATAAGCTTTAGAATAACGTAACTAGTAACTTATCTTAAAACTAATCTAAGCCTAAGATATAGTATAAGAGAAACTTAAGTAACTATATATTATAGTAGGGTTAAGTAGTATAGTCCTAAGAATTATATAGTAGTTAACATAAGGGATAAAACAATAGGAAGGCTACCTACCTATTAAAAAAGGGATTTATAGACCTAAGAAGGGATTAGAAGGGATATAATTATTTATATATAGTTATTATTATTAGCCTTAATACTCTATATAGAAATACACTACTAGTTATTACTACACTTTTATTTATTTAAAGAAATTTACTCTTTTTATAATTACTCTATTAATTTATACTTTTATTTTAGTATCTTTATAGATTAGGTCTAAGAATTATAAGACTTATTAATTAATATATATATTATTATTATTAGACGTTGTTGTAGTGTAGGTGGTTTTCCTATGTTTTACTATTCCTCTTTTTCTTTGTTAGGTGGCCTAGATGCCTTGCCCTTTCTTAATAGTGCCTAGAGGTAGATCTACTTCTTTAGTATAGGTATTCTATACTAGACTATAGACAGGCTCTTCTATATAGTTATAATAAATTTATAGTTAATAAAAATATAAATATAATATATTATTAATATTTAGTAATACTTCTACTTAATTAACAGTAGAACTAGCAAGAGATATAGTAGCTATATACTCTTATAGACTAATTTATAGGGATAAGATAGACCTTAAAAGCCTCCTTTAAAGTAGTAGGAATACGCTAGGATTTATTAAGTGTATATATATTCTTTTTCTGTTTTTAACCTCTCTTTTTGTTTTATATTTCCCTTTTTTAATTATAAGTATATAAAATAGATTATTTAACTTATAAAATAATTTATAGATCTAAAATATACTAATATAGATAATTAATAGTAGTCTTACTAAGTTAATAAGTAAAGTAAAGGCACTAGTTAAATAAAGCTAATAAATATTTTACCTAAGATATTAATAAAAAAGACAGTATTTTTAAGAATAAACCTATAGAGGGTTATATAGTATAATAAATAGTAGCTATATATAGATAACGTCTTATAGCTATAGTGTACACTAAATAGAGATATATAATAAAGAACTATAGTTACCCTATTATTTATTAATTACTACTAATATATATAGTTAACTATATTAACTTATCCCTTAGTGTTACTAACACTAATTAGTAGTTAACTTTACTATTAACTATTAGGTTAACTTTACTGTCTAAACTATAGATTAGTAAGGACTATAAGAAGGGTAATTATTACTAGTTAATTATTTATATACCTAGAGTAGGCAAGTACTAAAAAACGCCTCTATAAATACCTTTACTATAATAGTTTATACTAATTACCTATTATAATAGGTTAATTAATAGATCTATAACTAGTCCCTTAACTAGTAGAAACCTTATTAATTTATGTCTATTATATAAGCTTTATTACCTTTAGAGAAGTACTCTTAACTATAAAAAACCCTTACTTTATATACCTATAGCTAACTAGTAATTATTTACTATATCCTATTTATTATAAGCTTTTAGCTTACTAACTTCTTTTTCTATATATATACTCTTTACTAACTAATAGTATTAATAAGTTACTAATATAATAGCCTATTATTTCTCCTTTTACTAACTAATAGCGTTAATAAGTAGCTAATATAATAGCCTATTTTTTCCTAAGTTATTTACCTATAAGAGTATATTTTTCCTTACTATTTATACTACTAGTAGTAATCCCTTAATAAATATATATACCTTTTAGTCTACTAGAAGAAACGCCTATGTTTAAGAGGTTATTAGGCTAACAGAGGTAATAGTAAATAATACTACACCTATAAGTAGAAGACCTAAGCTAAGATAAGTAAATATAATAAGCTTATAAGTAAGTAAGGCTTAAGGTTACTATACCTTTTTATAAGGAACAAGAAGAAGTTTATAGTAAGTATAATATACT